CCTTATAAAATAAGCACTCTAGAGCAAGGATTGCCTTTTTCTGCCATATGCAATAGGTCCTTCATCTCATACCACTTGCTGGAAGAAAAAAAAAAAGTGAAAGAGGAAAAGAATTGGAGGAGAAGGGGCAAAAMCAGCTATTAGCACACACAGCACTGTGATTTCTTGGCAGTTAAGGAAGGTTGAGGATCTCAGGAGAGCTTCTTCCTTGTCATAGAGTCCAAAGACCAAAACRGAAACAAGCGGGGGCTGCAGCAAACACAGCTGGAATGCAAAGTGTCAGTGAGAGAGGCCAAAACACATATCAAAACAGCATCTTTTATTTGTAGTTTTTGAATATTTTATCACAGGAACAAAATAATACCAAATTTCAGCAGCATCTCAGRGTTAACAGGAAGGAATAAAGATGTTGCTGGAAAGAGGAACATGGCAGGAGAAATGTCATTTGTTTCCAAGTAGTTCTCAAAAGCCTGGAAACTCTCCACACTAACCTTCCCCTGGCACTACCAAGGAATCATGCTGCAGAAGCAGCCTCTGCTGCCAGCGAGCAGGGCTGGACAGCAAACTTCCAGCCATTCGCCTCARAAGGACTCCAAGCACCTCCTTGCCTGCAAGGCACTTCCCATTGCTCCTACAGCCACCAACTCCTCACTCCGCGAGGCAAGAGCAGTCTCAGAGCAAAGGTCCTCAGTGCACCCACCTTCAGCTTAGTGATGTGCTCCTCTGCAACCATTTGTGTCACTGTGCACTGCATGAGCTGCATGCGTGGGCATTAGACATGGGCCTTGCTCCTGCCCAAAGGCAAGGGTCATGGAAACCCTCCACACAGGCAGTGCAGTGGTTTCATTCCCAGCGGCCCACCCTCACATCGACCGTCTTTCAATGGGGGAAGCCTGCCAAGTGGTAGGTTTGCCTTGCCTTGTTTGAGAAAAAGGGCTTCTCCCCCCTTGCACTATCATTTCTAKGGCTTCACTTCAGGCCTTCTTGGGAAACAGGGACTCCCTGACTGGAGAAAGTCTTGTACTGATCCCTGACGGCACAACAATAAGGAACTACCCAGACACAAATTTTCCAGCACAGAACAGCACAGCACGGCACAGCACAGCTCTGGTATTTCTATAGCTTGAAAGCACTTTGCTTTTGATTAATTCCACTTGCACCCACTCTGCATCGCCTTTTAGCTCTTCTATGCTGGTTCAAAATATTAAAAAGGACTAGAAGGACTTTAGGTCTTCCCACAACACACTGCCCCTAATGCAGGAAATTCCTGTAGCAAGGGGATATTTGCAGGAGGTGATRTGACAGGAACACTGCTGTTGCATGGCCTGGGTTTTTGCACCGCTATTCCCTGTGGGACTATTACAGCTAAATATATATTATATCAGCTGCTCTTGTTTACATCAGAGGCTGAACTAGGAAAAAMGGTGGTGATGGTGAAGGATAAAGGTGGCCAAGAGCTCCGGGAGCAAAATCAACACCCTCCTCCTGACCCAACACACACACAGTCTCTCTCCTTCACATATATTTACCTCAGCCAAGTGAAATGTTCTTGCTAAATATAGGACTGTTTTGCAGCTTTTCCTGTGATAAGTTACGACTCTTTCTAAGTTCACTGCTGGAAAAAAATGCATCTTAAAATTTATAGCTGAAAGATTTGGCTACAGCCCAGCAAAGCCAGAGGAAAAGAAAAAAATTGGAGTTGTGGGGTGAAGGCACCAGTGAAAAAACACACATATTCCTCTATCAGACCCTTTCATCAAGACTCCAGGCACGCTTTATGAGCTTAAACTGGAAACTCTCAACTTGCATGAATGAAAAGTCGCTACTTAGCTAGGTCTCTAGTTAGTTGAGCAAAAATAGGGCAGAAAAGGAAAAGAAAGCATCCTGTTGTTGGAGAACTTTCCCTCTCTCTGCCAACCTTCTTCCTCAACCTACCAGATACACCGCCTCCTATTGCTGCAGCACTTATTTACAACTTTTACACAAACAWCCAAGGCTAGCAAAGATGCCTCCACAAACTAGCAACTGTGGGCTGAGGGGGCAGAGTCAGGGATGCCACAAGCCCAGAGCTCATGCTGCTTCCAGCTGTCCTACCATGTAGCTGCTGCAGCAGGATTTGCCTCAAACTGCCACCCTAACTCTCCGTTATTAATGGTGAGGGCTTAAATGAACTAGATATTTCAGAATATCTAGCTAGAATATCTTTCAGAAAAGGGCAGGTGCTGATAAGCTTTGTCACACGGCAATGGAAGAGCGGGCTGTCAGGCTGCCTGCCCTCACAGTGGTTAGCTGTGGTAGCACCTGAGGAGGTGTGAGACACCAAGAGTTTTTAAAAAGAAAAAGGAAGCTAAACACCCACAACCACTTTATTTTAGTTCTCAGAGAGACACTGGGACAAAGAATGTATTTGCAAGCACTTGGACACAAGAAAAACAGAAATAGTTTTCTTTTTGTCATCAAGAATATATCATGTCAAACCTATCTAATTGTTCTCTGCAATATAGCAGCAGGCCTTGTGGGAAAGAATAAACTATAGACATTACATGAACTTGACTTTAACAAGTCATAATTTAGGCTTCTGAACTAAGCTCCTGTCCTGAGGAGCTCCTGTGGGCAAGGTAAGAAAGCAATCAGATGAAAGTTCAAAGGGCAAGCATAATATTGGTAGGTAAACTCTGTGCAGAAAATAATTATTCATAGCTTATGGCCAAAACCAGTTCCTACTTTGCCCCCGCTAGCATCCTTTTCTATATTCCCTAATTAGGAGGTGGGTGCCAGGCAGCAGCTACAGGGCTGTCTCAGGGCTGCCCAGGCCAACAGGCAGGTAACAACGACCCTCGCATTGTGGCCTCTCCTCAGTGAATAACTTCTCTGGGCCCTCTCTTCATTCAGCTATCATTTTTCATGAAATTTGTAAGACCTTAATGTCTGGGGAACATCTATTTCTCCATCAAAACAAGCTGAAATGAGTCCATGAATTAAAACGTTATCACAAAGCAACTAAGAAAAAAGCACAGAGGGATCCTTAACAAACTAGTGTAGAAGGTCATTTTGCAGGCCCATGCAAAATGCTACAATTAGATAGGAAACAAAAAAATCAAAAACCTGAACACACAGTGGAGAAACAACTTGCTAGACAGCAAATCTACAGGAGAGGAGCCTGGAGCCTGTGGATTGCAAGCCAAGTACAAACAGCCTCCCACTGTCACATACATACTGAAAGGCAAACATCCTACTGGGATGTGTAAATGGGCTTGTAACCCACAAGGTTGGGAGGGAGTGGGAAAAAAAAAAAATTTTGATAGAGACAACCTCTTAAGCCGCTCCTTCATCTTTTCTCCTCCTCCTCTTCCTCCTTTGGCTGCCGAGGATATCTTGGCTTACTCTGAACTTTCAAAAAAAAAAAAAAAAAAAAAAAAAAAAAGGAGGAAAAAAAAAAAAGCCTTCTGCAAAGCCAGAGCCAGTGCTCTGAGAGAAGGAGGCCCAGAAAAACAGCCTGCAGAACAGTGTGAGAGAGCTGGAGCCAGTCAGTGCAGAGAAGGTGACTGATTAGGGAAAGAACAGTAGTCTTCAAACATAGACAAAAARTGATTTTTAAGGAGAAAGGGAATGAACTGGATTCCAATTCTTTAGGATCCAGGACAGGATGCTTTTCTAACCTTTCTAAGCCTTTCTAAGGAAAGTGAAGAATTTGAACAGGTCATCTACGGAGGCTGGAGAAGCTCCCCTCCACCCCCCCCACCTCCAATCAAAGAATCTGTTTGATAAACCTCTGCCGTGATTTATATACAGTTGCTTCTGCCTCATGTCATTGCTGCAAATTACACACTGAATTCTAACTTTACAACTCCCTGGAATGTGGACAAACATAAAAAAAAACACAGCAGTTTGCACAGTTATGGACTGACTACCACTTGACTTTTAGGGACTGAATTGAAATTTCCCTTCCTTTAATGCATCCTGCTGTTAACCTTCAGAAAGCAGAGTTCTTCAGTGTTGAAAGGACAAGTGTGCACTGGATCCCTGACCAAAAGAGAACTGCCTCACAAACTACCTTACAAATACACAAAACTGTCCCAGGAGCAAGAGACACCAAAGACAGAAATGCCTAATTGCCTTATAATTCTGCATTTCCAGKGCATAGCATGAACATGACAGTGACATGAGCATGTTTTTCCTCAACCCAGCAGCAGCAGGAATCAAGGATATGCATGGTATTGCAGCTAGCACAAGAGACATACATGCAGGAAGGCACCTTTCCAGGAAGACGGCTGTGGGGATTCTCTACCTGTCCAGCATACAGACAAGTAGCACCTCCTCTATAAGCACGAGAGAGCCCTTGAGATTTTCATACCCTTTCCATACTGTAGAACTGTAGCGCAAGCTTGAGAGAATGCAGGGGCTCTGCAACATGAGTTTTATTCAGCTACTACTTTATGCACATAAGCCTTTACAGACAAAGGCTGTCCTTCCAAGAGCCAATGTATCATATGGTACAACCTCGAAGCTGAACAAACAGTGCAGGTGCCAGTTGTACAGCTCACTTGACCCACAGACGGAAAAGTCATGCAGGGCTAGACACCATATTTCCCTGCAACAGTGACACCAAAGGAAAGAACTGCGAAAACTTCATGCTCTCACCCAGCTGTATTACTGCCTCCAAGATGGGTTTGTGTTTGCAGCTTCCTTCTTGGACCTAGGCTACATGTACATTCAGCCTACCTGCATGTACAGTCCTTGCTAGGTTAACAGGGTTTCCCTTTGCTGGATACCTGTGATGTTCCTGACACAGAGCTTCTTTAGCTCCAACTAGACTTGTGCAGGCTACATCTTTTTGTGGCGTGTATGTAATGAGGATTCACTTTCTTTCAAAGAAAGCTCTTCCAGAACTAGAAGACAGCAGCATCTGGGAATWTCACTGGCCCCAAGGGATGCACAAAGGCAAGTGCAATGCCTTAAGCRGGACAACAACGGTCAATTCCCAGTTCTGCCACTGGTTTTTAGTCTACTGGCTGCTCCTACTTTGTCAAGTCTCTCAAAACAAGCAGTAAGTCGGTACCTATGTGCCCTAGCTCAAAGGAAGCTATTATTCTCTTATTCCTATAAGAAAACAACAATCCTTCCTTTCACAGTGTGGGGAGATGCATATAGTAACCATATGGCAAGGATCTCACATACAGGGCATCAGATGGGTGGGTGTCTAACCCAGCAGACAGAAACACCCATTATGAGGATCCTGCTTGCTAAGTAATTCTCGACTGTCCCAACTGCTTCATTCCAAAGAGTAAATGTGCAATTTCAAGGATTCATTGCAAGAGCTACTGAAAAACAATACAAAGCCCTACTGCAAGCATTCAGTCCCCTCTAGATACTACAGCTCCACTCATTTAAGTCACATTGTTCAGCACAGGYCAGCTAAGTTTGCTTCACATCTTCAGTCCTTTGCAATTCTACCAGCTGGTCTTCTCTGATATCATCCTTTCTGACTTTCCTGAAGTAGTAGTAGAAGCCAGCAATGGCCAGGAGAAGGATGAGAACCAGAGGTAAGTACAGGATGAAGTACAGCAGTGGTGGAGATGAGCAGATCCTGGACAAAACAGTTGATTCTGGGAGAGAAAAAAAAAAAAAAAAAAAAAGCAAGTGAAAACTCAAGCTAATTTTTCTTTTCACCTCCTTCTCTTTCTATAGGATAGAATTTGTTTTGTATTTGTTCCTTATAAGTTGTTCCTCATTCTTAAATATCACCATTTTTGAACAATTCAGACACCATGTCTAAGGCTGCCTGAGGAGAAGGGGGAGAGAAACAAGGTAATTTGCCTCAGGCTCTTGTTTTGAAAGGTCAGACGGAGCATGAGGTTGGCTTTCAGCTGGAGCATTCCAATAGAGACAGCAGAGCTCCTCAGCTAATTCCTTCCAGATGTTAATTTATTCCAGATCGGGCACCATAGTGAAAAGTTGTGTTTCCTTCATGTCCTTCCTGGCAAAAGCTATGGTGGGCCAAGGTAGAAGGTTGTTGCCAGAGGCTCTACCAGAGCAGGGAGGAGCCAGAGGAAAGCAAAGGAAACAAGACCAAGGAGGTCTCTGTCCTCCACAAAGTCCTCTCCCTTCCTTCCAAGGGCATTCAACCCAGCAATGTGCTGCAGATACRAGAGTTGTCTCTTAGAGGCCAGTGGCCTCCTCTGCATTGCTCGGCCAGCACTCCCAGTGTCTCTACGGCCACCTCCACCATGCACGCACCAAGCGCCCTGTTCTCATCTTGCCCGGCTCGGCTGCACGCTTGCTGTTGCAGCTGGCACCTGGAGCAGAGCACTGCCGTGACCCGTCCCACGTGTGCCACCACCACCCAAGGTTGCCCTCACCTGCAGCACAACAAGGCATTACCTGGTGGCAGCGTAGTGAGCTTTGTGTACCCCGAGAGCGCCGACGCTCGCAGAGCCCAGGCCTCTCCCTTGCCGCCCTGCTGCCACTCCTGCACCTGGCAGTAATAGACGCCGGTGTCGCCAGCCTCCACATGTCGCAAGGTCAGGCTGAAGTCGCCGGCAGCAGGGCGCCGCAGCTGCAGCCTGCCCGCCYGGCCCTCCTGCGCGTACCCCACCGTGCCGTCGCGGTGCAGGTGCAGCAGGGGCCTCGCGCCGGAGCGCTCCTCCTCGTGGAACCAGATGACGGAGACGCGCGAGGCGGGCGATTGCACCCCCTGCATGAGGCAGGCCACTGTCGCCTCGGCACCTTCCCTCACAGAGATGCTGCCATTGGCCTTTTCCACGTCCAGTTTGTTCTCTGGGAAGGGAGGCAAGCAGGAAGAGCTGTCAGTGTTGCAGTGCTGCTACAGATACTCTGCTCCCTCTTCCACCCATAGCCTGATGGAAGATTGTCTGAAATACACTTACAGGCCCCTGTGAGACATACCCTCTGTGGCATTTATGACACTCTTTGCCCCTTTTCACCACCTTCCGTTGTAAAACTTGTTCCCCTCCCCCTCCAGATAAGTGACAAGGCTTCCCTCAGACCAAAAACTGTTTAAGAAACTGGAACTCTGATTCAGTTTATTTAAGGTTGGCAACTGTATGTCAGGTCAGGCTGACAGTGTAGCTACTTGGAAGCACTGAGTCAGGGAGACTCACCATGCACCCCAGTAGTGTAGCCAAGATGCAAGCAGCTGAACATTCAGCCTTGTTCTCAATGGCTAAATGCACTAGGATAAATAACATTATCTTGATTCAAGATGCTCAGGAGTGTCAGGAAAGGGCTATTCACTGCACTGCACAAGCAATCAAGTGCTATGTGCTTAAAAGAGAAGGCCACAGTTCACTCTGTTATGAAGCATTATATATCTTCTGCTGCTGGAGGCAAAAATACCAGCTTCATTGGTTTGGGTGGATGTGGTAAATTATCCTAATACTCTTATTTCCCTTTGAGGGATACTGGCACCTCCTCCCTCCATGATGCAATGCCATGAGTAAAAAAATCCCTAAATCCCAGATCCACACAGGAGCTTAGGAGAAGAGGCCAGGCCAACCTCCTCTTGTGCACCTATGCAAGAGAGAACCACCTGTTTACCTGAGAGCTTAAATTCCAGCACAGTCCTTCCTGATTCCCTCTCTCCAAGTTTGTACCAGCTGTCTGCCAGCCAGAGCCACTCCTCTACCACACAGTAATAGCTGCCTTGGTCTGCATGGTTGGTGGACAAAATCTGCAGCCTGAAGATATCACTGGAAACCCTCTGGCTCTGGAACCTGGACCTCTGTGTCAGAGAGCTAAACTCAGCTCCATATTCCAGTATGTTGCTGTAGTTGACCCTTACAATTTGCAGAGGGGTTGTATGGGCTGGAGGAGGTGGTAGGAAGTACCAGGTAATGGCCAGCAGAGCATTTTTCTGGGTAAACATGATTCTGCATTCAATGGCTGCATCAGCACTGGCAGCTGCCTCCACAGAGCTCTCTTTGGTAGCAACCTGAAGCTTGCTTTCTGAAAGGGAGAAATAAAATAATCATTAAAGCTGTAACTACCAATACAGGAATGCTAGCAGGAAAAAAAGGATATGACTGGCCTGAGAGGCCTGCCAAAAGAGGACAGAGGGAGAGAAGGCACAAACATCCATTAGCAGGAGCAGAAGAACTGAGGGAAAAGGAGAAGGAACAAATTCACACACCTTCATTTGGGCTTTGACTGAAATTCTCTGGCTGCTACTAGGCAGAGGAATAGAGGAAACAGCCTGAGAGATCCCAGGGTATAGATGGGAAAATTAAGGCAGACTCCCCAGTGAAACTTGGAGGCAAGGGCTGTATCTGAAGTGAATGTCTCAGTCTCCCGCTGTGTCTATCACTAGGCTCACATGTAAGTGACAAAACCAGCCCACGGCTTTGGAGACAGTGAACAATAAGTGTCTTTTATCTCAGGGAGACTAAAGAGTCTGTGTGGGTTTTGCTAACAGTTACTGTCTCATCTGTTTGCTGGTTATTAACTGGAAGCTATATAACATGTTTCTGGATGTCCTTTGCGATTATACCTGGTAATAGTTCAATTAAGCACTAAATAGCTCAAAGGGAAACTCCCAGTCCTTGCACTGAGCAGCTCTCCCCAGGAACAGTGCGGTGGCAGCCGCTGCAAGCACAACTGCTGCTTCCTGTTTGTGGGGCACAGTTCCCACTTGCACATCACCTTGTGCTGGTGTTACTGCTTCTTCTTAAGCAATATAAAGACTGCAAATGAGTCTCTTGGAAAACCCTCTCAATGTCCATRTTTTCCCCCGAGGCCTCTTCCTGCCTTCATCCTATGACACTATCTTTGTCAGATGTGGCCAGCAGCTAGGGAGTATACATAAGTGTCTACACAAGGGCATACAGAAATTACTCAGCACAAGACCTCTTCAAGGTCTTACCAGACCATAGGCTGAATTTTCATTCCTGGATTTTCCTTGTATATCTGCTCAGCAGCTGAAAGCCTACTGCGGTAGAGTCTGGGATGAGATCTCACCTGTTGTTTGATGGTAGGATAAAATGCATACTGAAGGGAACAAACTTCCTCACCATGCACAAAGTCTCTCCTCCTGCCCTGACCCACACACTCGCTAGCTCAACCCCATAGCTCCTTGCTGGGAGACAGGCAGGTCATGGGGAGATTGGGTGGAATGGGCGATAGCCACCGCCTCTCCTCTCACAGTGGCTAAGAGGGAAGCAGATCCGTGAGAAAGGAAAGTTCTCACATTTCCCCCATCTTCTTTCTTCTGAGAATCTCTCAAGCATTTCCTTTTCCAGCGTGATCTTTCATAGTTCATCCCAAGCCTCATCGCCTCTCCCTTCTCCCCTGGACTTCCGTGGCACTCCTGCCCATGCTCCAGGGAGCTCCCATCTAGCCATCATCACAGGAAAATATTTTTTCTAGGACCTCTGGGTCACAGGTACCCAGAGATAACTGTCCAAAACAGTCTGAAATCCACTTCAGAGGCTATTGTTGCCTCTCCTAAGATCTGTCAACACAAAATAACTCTTTTGATGGCTCTTTACATTGCCAAGCATTGCTCTGCTTCCCTTTCAAGTATGCCAGCACCATCTCCTCATTCATTTCCACCTAGACAGTTTTCTCATTGCACACTGCTGCCCTTCCTCCTATCCTCTCAGCATGCAATCAACAGTCATATTTTCACCAAAGGGTAAACAGTCTCCTACACAGCCCTACTTGCACGTTCCTGCATCTGTTCACTGCTGCAAAGGGGAGAACTTGGGCACTGACAGTCATAAGGTGCCTGCTCTTCCCAAGGAATCCACAAAGCTGTCCTGCATTTCACAGTGCAAGTTACACTGCTCTCCATGAGTGGGTAAGGGCAAGAAGCAGAAGAGACAGGAAGGGAGCCACTCTATTAGAAAGCTGCCCAAACTCAGGCATGCACACACCTCCAAACTAAGCAGGCTTAAGCATGCCTAGGGACTAGACACAAATTGATGTCTTCCAATTTCAGTACTTAAAAGTGCACCCAAGTCCAGAGCCAGCTGTAAAGAAGCATAAATCTGCCAAGTGAGACAGGTGAACCGATCATATTAAAAAAAAAATAATGAATTTGGTTCTTAACTTTAGCTGCTACATACAACAGGAATATTAAGCTGCCTTGTCCCAAGTGGGGACATTGCTCCTATTTTCAAGGCCACCAGACAGGTCCTAGCGAAGATTAAAAAAAAAAACAAAAACAAACAAACAAAAAACCCAGACCTGAATGATTGAAGAGATAGCTTAGCTCACTAGATCATTTTAACCTAACAAGCCCCTAACAAGGGCTAAGGCAACAGCTGTCACCTAAGCTTGACTTGAACTCTGGACAGGCCTAGAAAAAAACCACAGCTGTTTGGCCAGGCTAGAGTAAGTGCATCGTCCTTCAAGTGAAGTCCCCCCTGAAGTGCTGCTGGGACCCAAGATGGGTATATATGACTCTGTCTCCAATTCCCAGACAGGGTGCCAGCAGATGAGAGAGCAAATCACCTGGGGAGGGACCTCTAGGGAGAAGGATCCAGCCTGACATCCACTGGAGCGAAAAATACTCCAGAGAAACAGAAACTACTATATCTCAGAGAGGAGGCAGGAGGTGCTGTTAAAAGCACTCAATTTTGATGAGAAAAAAAAATGCTATTACATTCCCTGAAAAGATCACCTCAAGAGGAAGCAGAGCATTCGCTACAAAGCCCCTTTCTTTCAGCTCAAAGTCTCCTGTCACTCATATCACTGCTGCTAAAGATCAATCACCGAAAAGGGCAGAGCAGCTGCCTCCCTTTCCCTCTGGCATATAAAGATGCGCTTGTTTTCTCTTTCAATTTCAATTTAATTAACTAAGCTGAATCTCTCGTCGCCTGCCTAGCTTTGAACGGTGCCTGCTGACAACATGCTTTCCATGAGCGAGAGGACGCGGTAGCTTCCAGCAACCCGTGCGCAGACGGCTGGCGTGCAGGGAGCAGCTCACACGATGCCTCCGGCAGATTGATCCAGAGGGAACCCGGCATGGGCAGCCTGGTAGGAGCATCACCTCTGGGACAGGGCAGAAAGTGYATTACGGCTAGGCCTCTGTCTGCTTGCCCAGGGCACTAATTATCAGCCCACCAAGGGTCGGATGCTGAATTATTTGAACAGTTGGAGATGGGAAGGATTTGTGCCCCTTCTCCCGCTTTCATGCATGTCCCTCCCATTTGAAGCTCTAGGCCAGATCCACAAGGGTATTTCAATGCCTAGAGCACCTGCCAACAATGAAGAAATTAAGCGCCTAAGCAAAAGTCAAGAACTTGAGTATCTCTGTGGGCTTCAGCCATGCGATTTTACATGCCAGGAAACTAAATGGTGTTTTTCATAATTTGCAGTTTGATTTTCTATACTTTAGCCTCATTCCATTGCAGCTGGGATGGGGCTTTTTCCACAGACTTATGCTGTGTCTTACTAAATATCCTTCACTGGCTTATGCTGCCTTTCTTACAGTAATAGTACTTACAGCTAGCAGTTATCCTCCTGTTACATGATTCCTTCCCAGTTGACAGTGTCTTTACACCCTTGCAATATCCAGTAAATGGCTGCAATATATTTGGAGCCGAATGTCCTAATATCTTCCTGCTCTACTGCTACTGCCTTGTTCTCCACAGACAATCTACAATTATGTTGCTTTTCTTAATGCTATTTACATTACAAACATGTGCCCGATCTGCTGTTCATTGTCACCCCAGCCTCCCTCTTGCATAGCTGCTTCCCTCACACCAGCTGGCTGTAACTCAGGTGTAAAGCAGGGTKCCTCAGTACCCAGCTCCACAGGGGCACGGAGAAGAAGAGCCACAGAGCAGGAAGGACAGCGCCATGGAAACAAGCCTGAACGGTGAAGGAAACATAAGGTCATGCTACAGCAAACCCTTCAGCCAAAAAAACAAGGAAAGTGAGTAATTTCAGCTCATTGGGTTGTGATCTCTAAAAGTCAAAGATTAGAGAAAGAAGCACTTAATGCAAGAAACGAGGGGGGRAAAACAGCAGAAGAAGAAACAAAAGAAAAGAAATTTCCTTCACTGACGAAACAGATAAGAGGGGGGAAAAAAATCCCCAATTTTTGTGCTTGCTTCCATAGGCTCAGAGGTTTTGGCCTGGGCCGTTCCTTTAACCCCTCCAGCAGCTCTTGTCACATGCAGGGCAAACTGCCACTGCTCTGCTTCCCGGGGCGGCTGGAGCACACGCACAAGTGAAAGAGTCAGCTCAAGGAATTTGGTTTATTTACGACATCCTCTTCAGCAAGAGGAATGAGCCTGTGGCTCCCTGCAAGATACTGGCAGCAACAGTCCCTGCCTTTAATCAYGGCCTTAAAAGGGCAACTGTGCGTGCAGCTCCTTGCTGTGCAGCGCAGCCCTTCCCCAGGGGCAATACCTCCAGGCAGGGGGAATACCCAGCTGCAGGTTGGACYCAGCTCCCAGCCCTGGAGAGAGGTGCGGGTACTCCCCACAGGCTGTGCGCCTCTGCCGATGGGCCTGGCTGGGAAGAGCAGTCCAACACCTTAATATATGTGGGAAAGCTTGGGGGAAGGAGCGGAGGAAACTGTCCTCCCGTTACCCACTCTGGAGAAGCRAAGTTGTCCCCTGGCTCTCTGGAAGATCACTGCCATAGCAGGCCTCTCTCACTGCAGAATGATTAAGGTTGTAAGGGACCTTTCAGGATCATCTACTCCTCCTGGGTCATCAGCTGGGCTTAGGCCCACAGCCAAGGAAAAGGTTAGCCTTCAGGGGAACTTCCTTCTCCCAGAGATGCAATGTAAAAGCCTAGCAGCAAGGTTGATCCATATATGGTGATTTGCAAACAAGCCTCACCACTCACCAATCCCAGACTTGCCTCCAAGAGTACTGTTAAGAGTTGTGGGTGCTGAGGCAGCAGGAGGAGCACTTGGAGATGACCCTCATGGGGGCATCCCAGCCCTCAGCGCTCCCTCTAGGCCCTTGTTATTTTCTATAGATTTGGACAAGTTGCACCACTGCTGAGGAAACACACATAGTGCCACTTTACCTGGCAGACTGACTTTTATCCCCACAGCGTTGGATTTCACGACAGCAGCCGGCTGTCCTCGTGGTGGGGAGCTTCTCCTCCAGATCCCCACCTCACACCTGTAGGTGCCCTCATCATCTGCCGTGGCGCCATGGATGAGCAGCTTGGAGGAAGAGGCAGCCTTGGTCAACTGGGTTTTCTTCAGGAAGTGTGGCTGGGCCGTCCCCCATGCCACCATGCCATCAGGAAGGACTCTGACCAGCTCCTGGTAGTCCTCYGTGGGTTGTTTTGGGTGGAACTGCCATGTCACGGACACCGGCATCTCCTCAAGGGCATAGCTGGCACTCAGCTGGCAGAAGAGTTCAAAACTCTGAGTGTACTTGACGCTGGCAGTTCGGCTTATCAGCATGGCGCTCAAACCAAGATCTGCTCAAGAGGAAAAGAGTCACTGGTGCTGCACTCCCARAGACCATCCAGTAACTGCATTGCTACACTACCTCGCTGTCCCCCTGCCCATATGGTACCTTCTCCTGCTGCATCAGCCACCTCAGAAGCTCCCGTCTGCCATCGGGCTTTGCCTTGTTTTCCATGAGTGCTGTTGATGCTGACAGGTGATTAGCTTTACCATGGAGAAAAGCTTGATACAAAGCCCATTCCTATGGCTTGCCCATCACCTGTGTGCACATTGCCAACCCAAAGCAGACTTTTCCCCTACTGTGTCAGTGAATCTCAATGTCACAGAATCAGAGAATCGTAGAATTGTTAAGGTTGGAAGGGAGCTTTAGAGATCATCTAGCCCAATCCCCCTGCACATGCAGGGTCACCTAGAGCACGGGGCACAGGGCTGCCTTCAAGCAGGTCTTGAATATCTCCAGAGAAGGAGACTCCACAACCTCYCTGGGCAGCCTGTGCCAGKGCTCTGTCACCCTCACAGTCAAGAAAAATTTCCTTAAGTTTCTGTGGAACTTTYGGTGCCTCAGCTTGTGGCCATTTCCTCTAGTCCTGTCGCTGGCCACCACTGAAAAGAGGCCGSCCCCTCCTCCTCACTGCCTCCCYTGAGGTATTTATACACRCTGATCMGGTCCCCCCTCAGCCTCCTCTTCTCCAGGCTGAACAGGCCCAGCTCYCTCAGCCTTTGCTCATAGGGCAGATGTTCCAGGCCCCTGATCATCCTCCTGGTCTGCTGGGCACTCTTTGTAGCCTGCTAGACTCTCTATGAGCCTTGTAGCCCTGCTCTGGACTCTCTCTAGCATCTCCACATCCCTTTTGTACTGGGGAGTYCAGAACTGRACATAGTCTCCAGATGTGGCCTCACCAGGGCTGAGTAAACGGGGAGGATCACCTCCCCCRACCTGTCAACAAGCAGTGCTCTGCCTTATATTGCATTTGTAAATAGTATTAGTCTGATTTCCAGCTAGACCCCAATCCTACTTGCACTGTGTTCTGCCAATGCTTCTCTCACTGCCACCTTCATCCTGCTATCGCCTCTTCTCCACTCACACAGCTTTAGCAACACTACCTAGCACTGTGCTGCCCCATGCCCTGCTCCTTCACCCCAGGTACCCAGGCAGCTCTGGGCACTCTGCTTTCCAGACTTATGTTGCTACAGCAGTCTTCCAAGCCACACCTCATGGCACCAAGGTGCCATGCGAATTGCCTTGTATTTCTCCTGAAGCACTAATGTGCCATTTTGAATATGTGCACTTGGTGCTGCCTGTCACTCACCTCTTCCCTCTCCCTGTTTTGTTGTGCTGTTTGTTTAATGTTTTCACTTTTTGAGCAAGCAGAACTATTGTGGCCCACCCAGTGATCTAGGCACTCATCATAGAGTGCATCCATTCCACCAATCAAAAAGGAAAAAGACATGGGCTCTACATGCCTAGGAAGTTAGAAGATCAGTGCTCAGAAAGGATGCAGGAGAAGCAATTGAGTACGAAAGCCAAGGGTGTATCACTGACAGAGGCCACAATCAGCAAGTGCTTTTGCTGATCTTAATTACCATAAGCAATTATGCTGATAGAACAGATATCGGCATTTGAAATTAAAGGATCAGTTAAGAATGAACTSTTAAGCAAATCATTGCCTTCTGGATCTTCAGGCAGTTTAGTAGTTACCTATTATTTCTCTCTCTGAAACATCCTGTGAAGGACTCAGATCCCTTGTTACAGTTGAAGAAATGAGGCACTCCAGTGGCAAACGACTGGCCTCAGGTCACCTCACAACAGCAACAAAGCTCAGCATGCAGACTTTGTTCCTAAGCTTGGGTTCCCATCACCATATTACTTTGCCTCTCCTCACATATGCATCCAACTTGAAGACCTCCCAAAAACTGGTGGCCCAACTTACCCAGAGGGCTGACAGTCACTGTGGTTTCCTCTGTCTGGGTCCAGCTTTTGCCTCGGGACCACTCCACCACTTCGCACCTGTAGGACCCACTATCACTTGGGGCTGACGTGTTTGAGATCACTAGGGTGAAAGTGCTGGAGCCTGTTTTCTTCAGCCTGATGCTCCCCTGTGCACCACGGTCCTCGTAGGCACTTCCCAGGGTTAGCGAGCCATCCCGCTCCATGGCAGCCAAAAGAGCTGGTGGACCCTGATGTTGCTGCAGATGCCACCACCGTACAGACAGAGGGTTGGTGGTTCCCTGTACCTCACAAAGGAAGATCAAGGCATCTCCTGCTACTATCTGTGCCGTGCTGGTGGTCATRGACAGGTGCATTCGGCTTTCTGCAAACAACAAGTACTTTGTTGGAGAGGACTTTTTTTTTGTCATCAGAGAAAGCCAGAGCTATTGTTACATTAAACAGAGAGACTATATAAAACTTCGCACTGAAACTGAAAGGAATTGTCTGAAAATTTCAACCTTTTCTTATAACCTTTGAGAGCTTTTCTTTTTAATGGCTTTCCTGGAAGGTTTATACATAAAGGAAGGTTTTAAAACGGAGTCCCACCAGGCAGATTTTGCTTTTCCCACCACCTGCCACATCAAAATCATCATAGTTGAGCTACAACAAGGAAACTAAGAAATATCTCAGAAGCTTTGTGAGAGTGGTCTCTCATAAGTCACCCCCCCAAAAAATAGAGACCACCCTGATGGTAATGACAATGATTCCCCTTTTCTTAGCGGAATCTGTTATCCTGACTTATCCTGTGATGTTCAAGAGAAGCAGCAGGGACTGCTCTCAGTTTTTCATGCCAAAGACACAGGAGGACCCAGTTTCCACGGAATTCAACCAATTTGCCCCAAAACTTGTAGCATAGAGACTGAATTAGAGGTTTACACTCTGTTAAGAGTTGCTGCACCTGCCATGCTAATGTTTACCAGATTTTTTTTTCAGTTTTACGTGTTAAAAATTATGGTATCATTTACCCTTTACTGCAAACAGCAGTTGCATTATGGACAGGTCCCTGTCAAAATGAGGCCAGATCTCATGATCACCGTGGATTTCATCTAGCAGAGCAGCCAAATAGATTTACTAACCTATTGACTTCACATTGACTTGGAGGCCAGATGACGATTTTGTTTGGATGCTCTGAAAGTCTCCAGGAGCCTTCTCCAGCTCTGAAACTGAACAGCTGTACATACCTTTGTCCAGCAGCCCCACCTCATGTATGATGAGGACATAAACTGAATCACTTTGCTTGAAAGCTTGAAGCTGCCCCTGCTTTGCTCTCTCCTCATATTCCTCCTTCCAGTTCAGCACTCCACTTGGGCCAACCATGGCCACTTCAGTGCTGTTGAGGAGCCAAAACACCTGGAACAGTCTGTCACGGTTGTTCTGGGCCCCCACGCAGCAATTAAGCTGCAAGTTGTCGCCTTCGGAGAGGGAGCTTTCAGCAGCAGCAATGGTCACATGGAGATCTTTACCTGTGAGCAAACAAGAACCAGGTGGGTGTTGGTGACCCTCAGATTTCCTTTCACCTGACAGCTCCAGAGGGCACAGAGAGAGAGATGACAGGAAGTTTTCTGCTCATTTTCTTCCATTAGAAAAGGGATCTAACTGGGARGTTTTCATCACTGAGAGAAGTTAGTCAGCTCCAGGATCTAGCTGCTGGTCACAAGAGAATGAAGCACCAGTGCAGCCATGAAACCAAGGCTCAGCCCTGTCAGGACAGCTAACAGCTCAGCCACTGGGATGGCACTGAGCTACAGATATCCTGGCTCAGCTCTGGCATCCAAACCAAGGTCTGCCCTGATGCAGAGGTGTCAGACACAGCTCCCTGCCTTGGCGCCTGGAGCTGTTCTGCTTCACTTAGAAAATATCCCTTAAACCAGAAGGGACTACCAAGGGTCTTTGTAACTCAGTGGTCATTTTCATTCAGCTCTCCATGATGGGAAGTGGCACGCACTTGCATTCAAGTTCTTCGTCTGGATCTGGGAAAGCTGTTTCTCCCAAACCACAGATGTGACTGGCTACTCTTGGATAGGTAAAAAAWTTGACAAGTTTTCGATTAGTCCATTAGTCCAGACAAGCAGAAATTTCAAGAGCTATAGAAGGTGGTAAGAAGAGGTGAAGGTCACACAGCCTGCATTCTGTTCCTACTAGCTACCAAGTGCAGATGCCTACCGAAGAGGATAGCAACGGGGGAGCATAAAGTTATCCTTGTTGACCTTTTTGAGCAGTCAGCTGCACCTGAAATATGGGTCTCTGGGTCCTTTAATACCTAGAGACATCTAATACCTCTAATATCTAACTCTGGATCCACCTCCCCTGCAGAGTATTCACAGCCTTGACCCCCTGCTTGCTCTTGGGGCCCAGCTGAGGGTCCTTCAGTAAGTCTCAGAGCTGATGTATGGCAGAAGGCAAAGACCTGCTAGGACACTCTGAAATCCTGCACGGAGTTCCCACAGCCTTATGATGCTGTGCAAAAGCAGAAGCTAGAGCTCACTAGGCAGCCTGTATCACGCACCCTGCATCATGATGATTTATCTCCTCCTTGGGTTGCTGGTGTACTTCCCATGTCTAGCAGGAGGGACAAGGCTCTTTGTTATGGTTTCAAGGTAAAACAGAACAGCCCGCAGACTGCTGCTAGGAGGACTCGAATAATTTATTGAAAACAAATTATCCTGTTAATTTAAACATTGGTTCATAAACAATTCATGAACAGGAATCCCAGTCGCTGCAGATATGTGTGGCATTCCCAAATATTTGCTGGAGAGTTTAYAGAAACCGTTGGTGCACATGACTGAGTAGCAGCCTGGTTTTACTGTGACWGGGCCCCAAGGTCCCAGCTCTCCTATTCAGCTGTGGGGCCAGCCTGCTGCCCTTAGGTGCCTGAAGCCAGTCCCTACGCCTCATCCAGCAGTATCAGCTGGTCTAACACAACCACCTGGTTTCCTTTTTATAGTCATTGCAGCCTTGATAGCTACTGCAGTGCAAATGCTAAACTTTCATAGAGTTTCTGTGTTTCTAATGAATATGTGGCACATGTATAAGCCACATAATACCACCAACAAGCGAGTGCAGGAGAGTACACTGACAACAAATGCTTGCTGGAGAGCAGCAGGAATAGAAAGCCATTGCTCTGAACTGTGCATAACAAGGGGAATAAAACTTGTGAAGCCATCCAGCTTTCAGGGATCAGGCTCTTAGAGGGGGAGACAGCTCACTCCCGTATCTTGCCCGCTTTGAGCCATCCCCACCAACTCCTTGCTGATCTGTTTCTTTGTTTTCCTGCCCTGACTCAGTGTCCTTGCATGTGACACCTGCTGCTTTCACTGCTTTTGCTCTGCAGGCTCCTTCCTCCACTGCCCTACTTGCCTCCRTGCACAGACCAGCTCGCCGAGGATGCTGCCCCAGCACCCTCTTCACTCACCTCTTTGTTCCCAAATGTGTGATTAACTAAAGAGTTTCTCTCCTGCTTTTCCTGCTCTGCTGCCCTCCAGGCCTCATGGGGAGCTGAGCCCCTGCCCTGAGCTCACCACACTGCAGCCTCCAAAGCCTCTTCTGCTCTGCTGCCTTCCTGCTGTGCGGTTTGTGAGAAGCCCTTCATTCTCCACGCAGCGCCRGTACCCATAAGGGCAACACTCTTGTCAGCCTCCAAGTCCCTAGGAGAGGTCTTGCTCATTTTAGTGCACAGCACTGTATATTCTGTTAAAGGGCTTTCATTAGACAGAGGCTTTGTCTTGCATGCTGCATACCAGGCAATGTGAAACTTTGGTGGGAAAGACAGATTTTCCCTTCCTCCAAGAACAGCTAACCACATGCAGCTGGAGGAAGCCCATGGTGAAGAACCACAGCAAGCAAAGGGCTTGCAGCAGGAGGGAAGGCAGGCAGGGCATTTAGAGGAGTGGGGGGCAAACATGCAAGTTGTAAAATTCTCAAAGCAAATGAGAAAGAGAGTTTCCCAACAGCCCAAGCAAATTGATGTCATATTTGTAGAAGGCAGGAGCCACAGAAGGATGCTGGGAAGACCAAAACAGATGGAAAAGATGATRTCTGGAACTACAGAGTGGAGTCAGGGAGGATAGGGACAGTGGCAAGAGACTGATTTTCAGGCTTTTCTTTCTTTCTTTTACTACACCCATAGTAACAAATCTAAATATTAATTTTACATTTTCCTAGAACATAGGCTAGAAATTTGGTCCACTCACTTTGAAGCACAGTCTGACCCACAGTCCCATCACAGCCACATACAGAAAAGTAGGAGACGAAGGAACAGTCTAATAAGTGGCAACTCCAGTTGCTCTGRAGCCCAACGGGCTTGTGACAACTTGGATGGACAAGCCACCTCCAGCAGCACTACAGAGCTGTGCAACACCCAGTCAGCACACCCACTTGCCCCTCAGAGCTCCTGGCTCACACAGTGGGCAGCTGACTGCAGTGCACTTCAGTCTTGGGGACAGTGAGACCCCAAGGCAGTCTAACAACACGCTCTTCCGCATACTTGAACTGAACATCGCCAAGGAGCCGGCTTGCTGCAGGCACACTCTGTTCTCTCTGCTAACACCTCGGCTTAAGTTTGCCATGCTACATGACTGCTGTCAGCATCAAAAATGTCAGTGCTAGCTGGCCTGAGAGGAGCTGAACTGTGCAAGCCTCTTAAGCAAGRAGTAGCAACCACTGTGCATTCCACACCTTGGTCTGCTGCAACATCTACCCAGTTTGCCCCCTCAATGCCTGGTAGCTGCAGCTGAAGCCACACTGCRGGGTCTGCCCGTGTTGGCCGATGTCTACTGCCAACACGAGTGCAGGGCTGTGGTGGAGACAGGTAACCCTGCTGATACCATCAGTAATCCYATGAGGCAGAAGCAGAGGCAGGTGCTAAATGCAGCCCCCAGGGTAACCTGTGCCTGCCGCTGGGCTGCTGTGTGGTTGCTATCTATCTGGAGGACAACAGCTCCCTGAGACTGGAAGAGCCATCCCCATCAGAGGCTGAGCTGCAGCACAGCCCACTCACCCTTTGAGCTCTGGGCTTGCAAGCTCTCAAAGCCCTACCTCATGAGGAGAGAAAAAAAAAATGTGTTGTATTAACTGGCTCAGCCCCAAAGACACTGTGGTGAAAAGAACAAAAACAATGCATGCCTTTACAGTCATCAGAGCATTGCTCTGCCCTGAAGCCAGGGTGCTGGATACTCTGAGCTAGTGCTGCCAGGAGACCCCTGACTCCTGCATAYGCCTCAGGAACTGCAAATCCTCCAACCCATGGGAAACAGGCTTGCTCCAAGAGGAGAAAAAGAACAATTTGTTTTCTCCGATGCTCAGATGCTGTTTGCCTTAGAGTTTCAGCTGACTGGCTTTAGTTCAAGTATGTTGGAGCAGAGAGGCACTCACGACACAGTCTAGTGACTGCTCAAGGGCACTGAATGATGCCGTTACATTAGCTTCAGTGCACAAGTGAATTGTAGCTGAAGTGGGAGTCTGCAGGGGCCTTACCTAGACTCGTGACTGTCAGCGACGTCTTCTCTGTTTGCTTCCGGGAGATATCCTTCCATGTCTTATCGGGATCCTCAATCCACTCAGCTGCCTCGCAGTATAGCTGGCCTTGATCAGATGGCTTCACTGCCCTGATGGAGAGCTTGTACGTGGTATTCCCAACTTTGTCCAGCCGCACGTCACCCATCAGAAACCTCTGCGTGTAAGAGGCCCCTGGCCTCAAGACAAAATCCTTGGACAGAGTAAGGATCTCTTCAGCATGGCTGTCTCCCTCTCCCTGAAGATGGTACCAGCCAACAGAGAGATGCGTGTGCTGGGTGGTGGACTTGGATACCTCGCAGGTGAGCTCCACTGAGTCCCCTTCAGTACGAGTCAGAGCCTGGGACTCCATGGAGGCCGAGAGGGTGTCTTCAATCACTGAGCAAAGGGAGAGAAACCCAGAGAATGCTGCTCACTGCGGAACCAGTGCCAAGCCCCCAGGGATCTGACAATGTTCCAGAAATATCCTTCACAGACGATTGACGAGGCCTCGATCAGATTATGCCAAAGTGTGAAGTGCTTAAAATCTGAGCCCGAAAGAAAGCACAGCGAATCTCTCTGTAGTGCTTTCTTCAGTCATGCTATGGGCTGTATTAAGCAACCCYGAAGAGATTAACATCCAGCCCCTTTCTGCCCCTCAGTGCAGGCTGGTGCAATACTAAAGGATAAAGGAGAAGATAGGGATGAATACAAAGCATTTAGACCTCAAACTGCTGTAGTACCATACAGACTGGAGACCTTATAACAGGACTTYTTCTTTTGTTTCTACACTGAGCCGCATCTCCTCTGCAAGTGCTTTGCTAGCTCTGTTCCCTCCTGCTATTCCTGTCACGTCCTACACCCCTGACCTGAGAGGACACCATCAGTTAATGGGATCGTAGGAGCTTTTAGGCTGCAAGAAAGTACTTGGCTGTGAAGTTTTGTAGCTGCATCGGGAGCTGAGGTTAGTGTCAAGCCCTGGGGCAGCACAGGCTTCCTTTCCCCCTACCCTCGTGTATAGGCCAGCAATCCTGCAGCAGGAGAAAGAAAATTTGTGCCTCCCATCCTTTTTATTCACGCTTTCCACCAGACATCCTTCTGCCTGAGAAGCAGTSACCCCTCATCCCCAACTGTGCTTTCTGTGGCATAAAGCAGGAGGTGGCAGGAAACTCACCCGTATTGCTACACGCCTTATATGCCCATGCTCTGTTGTCACTGCACGTGGAACAGCGTGTCTGCCCCGGGCACTTCGCACCTTGAGAGCGCCAGCAAGGAAAACCCACAGCCCAAGTCACTGGGGCCCAGCAGCTCCAGCGGGGAGCTAGCCACTTCTCCGAGACCTACCCGAGAGGTTGGTCTTGGCGCTGTAGCTCCCGAAGTACCTCTCGTCGGTGGTGGGCGTGTGGCACTCGTACTCGCCGGCGTCGCGCTCCTGCAGCTCGGTGATGTGCAGCTGGGCCGCGTCGCCCTGCAGCCGCTCCACGTAGATCTCCCGGCTGCGCACGCGCTGCGTGTAGATGGCGTAGGGGAAGGAGGGGTCGGCCGTGCTCACGATCTGCACCTCGCGCTCGGGYGCCGACGGCAGGTAGATGGACCACTGGAAGTTCTGCTCCGCCGGGCCCTGGTAGCCGCTCACCCGGCACCACAGCGTGACGTGGGAGCCTCTCACTCGGTAAAGCAGCCCCTTTTGAATGGTCACCACCCGCTGGCCACTGCTCAAACCTGTCAGCAAACGGTCATCACAGGCGGGTGTGCATGGATATGGTTGGACTTGATATTGAAAGTCTTTTTCAACTATAATGATTTTACTCTATGCAGGAATATACAGTATTTTAGAGGTGTACACTCAGAACAGCAACAGGCCTGGGAGTGCATGGGACTGTGAGGTAACCCACAAAGACTTGGTCTGCAGGGTTATTCTTCTGAAGCACGAAGCTTCAGGGACTTTGGCACTCAGTACAGTTAAAAGGACTAATCATGTAACAAAAAGGTTCCAAATTTTGTTATATCCCAGTGCAGCAGGGCACACAACAGAGGCCAGAGCATCACAGCTTCAGGGCCTTCAAGCTTGATCATGGCATCATCCCACGAACTRCTCAGGGGGAGCTCAGTGGAAGGGCCTTGTAGCTTGGAAAGATGAAGAGAGCGCAGAGCTTGGAGCCTGCGCAGGCCAGGATGGGAAGGGAGTGGGTGCCAGAGCCTGAGACAGGGATGCATTGCCAAAGCCAAGCACTCCAGCGCTGGGTAAGGGCACATTAGACAGCAAAGGGAACTGGCAGGCTGGGCACAGGAGAGATGGCTCAGCTTTGTGCTGCTTCCCAAAATACACATGGAGCAAAACCGCCCATGGGCACACATGCACTGAGCCAAAAATCAATAGCAGAGACCAAACCAGGGAATGCCCAGGCTGGTGGCATAGATTAAGAAACCTCAGGGGCTCCGTCCCACAGGAAGGGGTAAAGGACCCCTTTTGCGCCTTTGCCAGGGCAGTTGGCAGTCACACAACCATGCATGTCCCCTCATCAAACCCCAGCTGGAGACCAGGCTCTCACTGCACAAAATCGCAGTGATGAAAGGAGAAGGAGATGCTTGACGTGCACCTYGGAGCCAGAGCAGCTCCAGGCTGCCCCCTCACCCGCCCTTCCGCGCTASGGGGCACTCACCCAGGAGGAGGAGAAGAGCAGCTCCCAGGCACTGTAGCAGCCCCATGGGAAAAAGCCSTATGTGGGTCCTCTCCTGGAGGAGTAGCAGAAAGCTTGTGACTSTGGTCACAGTGCAGTGATAGCAGCAGCCACTCCGCTTTTGAAAGCAGCTGGGAGGAACAAGCCAACCTCTGACCACAGTTTCCTCTATGCAGAAAACGTGAGGAGTGGTTGAGGAGCAGAGAGTGAATGCACAATAAGACACTGTGTCCAGGACCCAGCGCTGCTTGGAGCAGGTCGTGCTTGAGCCCCCTGCTCCTGTTGCTGCACACAGCACTGCTCATGCACACAGAGCTGGCTGCCACCCCAGGTGCCTGGGCATCTCTGCAGCCCCTGCCACGCAGCTCGTGCTGTACAGCGAAGCAAGCAGGCTCACCTCTCTGCTTCCACATTGTAGCACTGTAGCTCCCATTTTCTTACTCATGTTTAGTTTCATTAAGTAATTTTGTTTTGTTTTGTTTTTGCATCAAGCCAGCAAACAGAGTGACAGCCTGACCCGTGGGCAAATTGTCCTCCTGCTGTGTGAGGGCAGGCTTGCTTCCCCCTACCAGCACCTTATGCAGAAYGGCAAGACGCTCTCCTGCAAACCTGGGCTGCAGGCAGGTGCCTGCACCAGAGCAGCAGCTCTGCTTGCATGAGCAGCGAGGTCAGGGCCATCGCTGGCAAGTTGTGGTGYGGGGCTGCAGCCAGCTGCAAGCCCACAGGCAAGCACTGTGAGCCATTCCCCCAGCAATGCCACCAACCCCTATGGCTTGTCACAGACCATGCTGCTCCTCCCCTCCTGCCCATGCAGGTCATGAGGCGGGAGGTTGACAGGGGTGTTAGGGCACGTCTGTGGCCGGGAATATCCCGTCCGTGAGCATGCAGCTGAACATGGGGGTTCAAAGCGACAGCACTCAGAAAGGATTTGTTTCCCTTTTCCACGGGAAGGATGGCAGCACCAAGCATTTACTCCTGAGCACTGCTCCCACAGCACTGCCAGGGCACAGACTGAATGGCAAGATTGGCTCAGGGATTTGCAAGCTAAAAACACTGTAAAACTTGCTTGATCCCACTGGACTCCTAGAGGGAATGAGATTCATTTAATGAACAAACACAAAGGTCCTTCCTTTCTCCATTTAATAAACTGATCCTACAAGTCTGGGAGATAAGGCAGAGACTCCTTGCTGCAAGGCTTGCACCGTTTATTAGCTCTCTTGGGCTGCTTATTAGCCTGCGCACACAGCTCCACTGCCACCACTAGTCCAGGGGGACAAGCTCTTGCAACAGGCGAAGAGGTCCCTGCGGCATTTCACCTGTCCCCTGCTGCCCACTGTCATTATAGTGAAACTGAGAAGAGGAACATGAAGTGTTTTGTGGAATTAGAGGGTGACATAGACTGAAACCTGCTCAGCATTTCCACAGAGGCAATGGAGCAGGTATGGCAGAACTCTACATAGGCTTTGGTTCTCTGCTGCAGGATGGAGCCCTCCTGCCTTACAGGGAAAGGATCAAGAGGTGCCTGCTTTCTGGGACCAACCCGCTATTAGCAGTGACCTGGCGGGGAGCACAAACTCCTGCAACTCTCAGATCTTCTGATCAAAAGCCTACCACTTTGGTGGAAGGAAAAACATCGCTGCTACTGCAACAGAGTAAATGGAGAGGAAACTTTGAGTTCACCCTCAGTGAGCTTCCTATAGTCAGTGTGCAGATAAACATACACAAGGGGACACTTAAACTCCAAGCTTGCAACTTAAATGACACATGAATCACTGTTTACATTTGCAATAAAGAAACCATGGAGAATAGGATTGCTTTACCCAGCCCTATCACCAGCAATGATGATGCTCTGTGGACAAAAACAACAGCTCCCTCTTTTCGGAATGCTAGGCTAAAAGTTACTGCCTTCCTTCCTGGGAAATCAGYATAGCCAAACATATGGCAGAGCTAATAACCATGCAAGGATGTGTGAAGGAGGAGGATCAGAGAATCCTTTACAAAGATAACATTGCTCTTAGAAGCAACTTCATTGATGCCATGTCTGTGAAGAGATGCGGAGAGACACCCTTGCCTCATCTTCCTGGGGAAGGTTGGGGGAGGGAAGGCAGGGAATATGCTTCTGGAATAGCGCAGAGAATCCCCACCGGCACCTGCGAGGGGAGGCCTGGCCTCCACCAAGCCAGGCAGCGCCCTTGGCCATGCACCTAACCCGGTGAGTGCAAGCACTGCTCCATGCCCCTGGGATAAGCGCCCCTGCCTCCCTGCCCTCAACCCTTCCTGGCACTGAGCTGGGGGGCTACCCACAGCACATCCTGACAGGATATCCCTGCAGAGTGTGAACGCCAGGGGTCACAATGCCCACAGTGCCTTCTTTGGCCTTCACGTGCATGACTGCAGCCTCTAAGTACCTGATCCCACACCCATCTTCCCTCTGCCTACTCCACTAGACCATTTGTTGGCCGCCTTCTCTAATGCTGCTAGCCACTTTGGGCCAAAGCATTCCTGAAAAACTCAGCCAAAATGCAGTGTGGAAAGTTTTATTAAGCCCAAGCCAGTCACAGTCAAGCTAGAAGCTATCTAAGAGAGCATAGCAGCAACTAGCAACATCCACAGGGGCTTTTAGGCATCCCAAATAGCCAATTGGGTATTGGCTATTGGACACTGCCTTGGTGCACAGCCTGGAGCCTGGGGTGGGAACAGTGTGAGACAGGGTCACTCTGCTAGTTAGGTAGAAACACGATGAAGTTAGCAGGATGAGGGAGGCAGCACCATGTTTGCACTGCCATTTAGGGGGACCAGGCTGCATGTGGGAGGCAAGTGCACGGAGGCCATGCACTGTTCCCCTCTCCCCCAGTTCCTTCTCACCCTTCAGCTTAAGTGAACTCTGCTGCGTAGAGTAGCCACATGCAGGGCTCTGCTCCCCAAAGGCTTTAGGGCCAGCCTTGCCTACCCGTGTATTCTGCTTGGCCGGGGGCTCCTCAGAGCACCTCAGAGCAACTTAGGCAGCACCACAGAGGGCTCGACCACGGCAGGCTGCTGCTGTGACCCAGGAGGGAGGGGGAATACAGCACTGGGTACACACTATAGGCAGGCTTACCAAAAATTGCTCCCATTTTTGCTTCATGGGTCTCAGGAGACTCCCCAAAGCTGAGGATGCCGTTTCCCATGTCTGCACAGTGGCTAGGGAGGGAGCAGGAGGAAGAGAAGAGACAAGGATTACCTCCTCCAAAGCGAGGGGTTGGGGCTGGCAGGGTCGGGAGGCTTGGGGAATAGCACAGCATTGCCATGATAAAGTGGCTGTCTCTGAGGGGGCACCAGAAGCCCACAGATAATCAGGCACGCCGGCACAACAGACTTTGAAGTCTGCCATCAGGTTTTCCCAGCCCTGCTCAGACATCAAAGCCAGCTGGTTACTGTTCCCAATTACAGAGCCAAGCCGGAGCCAGCTTCCCGAGGCCGCGCGGCTCAGCCGCAATCCTCCGCGCTGCCCTCATGGGCAGAAACCGCCTGACAGAGCACAAGTGCCCAAATCCCCCGGCTTCTGCTGCAGCCAAGCTCGCTTTTCTGGGAGCTCAGCTCTCAGCTACACGGGCCTTCACCTACAGCTTTTGGAGCCAAGGGAGATTCAGTGGATAAAGATCTCCCTGTTGACGCAGCGCTGAACCAAACTACCAGCTAGTCCCAGGGGAAGTCAGACAGCTATACAGCTAGAAGGAAGTCTAGCAAAGGTGAAGAAAATAAAGCACTTCTTACAGCACCAAGGAGGGCTGCTTCTGTTACTTATGCCTTGTGTATCCTGTGCTCTCAAAAGACACAGCTCTGTTGCATGGTCTTCATGAGCAAAACCCACAGCAGAGAACTTCAGCACAGAAGGGCTGTTTCAGTAGTTTTGCAGGGATGGAAGTTAATTGATACAGTTAATAAAAAACATTAATAAAAAAGAAGTCCAAGAACAGAACAGGTTGGGGAGCAGAGAAACACCCACCTTGTGAGGCTGCAGCTTTCTAGGACTGTGCTTACTCTCAGGTGTAAGCAGAAAGAGCTGAACCAGAAAGAGAGCCCCACAACTCCTTCCTGGAACTGGTGCTTGCTCTCCTTTGCACTGTCACATCTCCTGTAAAGAGGCAAACAAGAACAAAATTGGCCAAGCACTTCCAGAGACCCCCCCCAAAAAAATTATTTCTCTGATTATTTCTCTTTTATTGTATTATTAGCAGGCAAACACACTTGTTCTGAAGCTGCTCTGCCAAGGAGATAAAATTGGAGTGTAAACCACACATCTCATCTCGTGCCTTGTCCTAATACAGAGAAATGCTCTTTAGCTTCCCCCCAACCCTGCCTTCTTTCTTTGGATCTTCTACACACGAAAGAGCTGAACAAGCTCTATCCGTATAGCTTCATCAGTCTCATAGTCTTGGTCAACAATACTTGCCTTAGGGTTCTGATATAAATCTCCCGGACAMCTCATCTTACTGCTCTACACTTGCAGGATCCCAAATGGGTTCATTTTAGATGAAGCTACACTCATTTGGGTGCTCCTGAAACATACCTATGAGCTCCAACACATGCACATCTGAAAGAAAATTCCCCCTCCAGACATGCTGAGAGCAGACATTGGGTCCTCAGCACAAACTGGTTTGCTCTACAGATCCAGGAGATGAAAAACTGCTGTAGCACATCATCAAACCCTTCTTTCCAATATCCACTGTCTCCCCACTTTRCCCCTTGATCAGGGTTGAGGGCTTCTTGACACGGAAGGGCTGTGGCTGGGCATACTCAGCTGGGAGGCAGCAGGAGGCTGGCAGGGATGACCTGCCTCTGGAGAACTGCACAGACAGAAGATGCTGCAACGAGAGCAAGGCAGTGGGGAGGCTGCTGTTCCTCCTCACAGCATCCAAGAAGGAATGAGAGCACATGACAGCTCTGGAAAGAGGCAGCCACTCTATAGCTGCCTTTCCTGAGCTGTATCACRCTTCTCTAGCTGTGTGGTTTGCCTCTGAGGCAGTGCAGCCCATTTTCTTTAAATCACATTGATCTTGCTGGCACAGCACGTGCAGGACTAGATCAGGACAGCGTGCAGGTGACAAAAGCAGCGCCCTGCTTGGCTCAGCTGCTGTGTATCACTAGAAACTGCTATGTACCGCCCCAAATCTTGCTTCACCAGCATTCAAAGCAGCATTAGCATCTTTTAAGCCAACACCACAATAAAACGCTATTTTGAAGCAGAGAGCTACAGAGGGGAACCAAAAAGACCAAGCAGCAAYGGAGAGATGCACTGACAGCAAACCTTGGGGAAGGGGAGAAGGAGGTTAAGAGGGAAAGCAGGGAGAGCAATAGCAGTAGGCTCCTGTTCAGGAGGAACTTCTGCTGGGAACACATAAAAGTATTAAGTGTTGGGAGAGAAGCTGGGTTTTAATATTAAGCTGGTTATTTAGGTCTCTAAGTTGTGCAGAAGCTACGTTTCAAAACTAATTAGACTGACAGAGCTTGGATTTGATTACAGGATTTCCAGAAGCAAGAGGTTTTWAAAAAAATTAAATGTCTGCCCTGGAAGTGTTAGCAAGAGAATTAAACAGCCATTGCTGCAGCCAATTGTTAAATACATTTAAGCTGAGAAATATGATAACTCCAGCTGCCAAAATCCCTTTATACCAGTGACTGCAGTAGGGAGTCACAGTCCTACTAGGTCTGATTGGAAGGTGTTCAATGTATGTGTTTATCCAGACGTAGAGGGTCTCCAAGGCTGTCCGATGGCAATGGCYGAATTTGAAAGCATGTTGATTTTTCACCATCCCCAAATCTGTGGTAGAAAGCACAGCACCCAACTGCCAGATGCAGGTAACTTAGGGGCTAAAACTGAAGCAGGGAGAGGCTGCAGATGCCACAGAGCAGCAAAAGAGCTACCCATGGGAAGCCTCAATGTGTACATGCACAAAGGCCTCATCTTTACTGCTAAGGATGCTAAGGCTTTGTCTGCACTGATAAAATGCAGATAGACTCACACACCAATGATGGTCTGAAATACAGCCACATTCCTGAAGTGAGGAAAGCGAGGGAGCAATAGCAGCACTATTTTTATAGCTCACCCAGCATCAAAGGCCTTGCTTTACTGACAACTCATCTAACAGAAACAGATTCCCTCTCCCTCATTCATTTGAAACCGTGGAAAAGACAGCAACTTCATAAGGTCTGTTACCAAAGCCAGAACAGTACCTTCTGAAAGCCCAGAATTGCCACGTTTAAGTCCTCTGATGTTCCTAAAGCACCTTTCATTTGTGGCTTTCAAGCTTCTCCCCAAGTATAGATCCTCAAGCTTCCTAGAGAAATTCAACCTGGAGCCTGCTAGGCTTTCATAGTGGGACCCTGAATTAAAACAGAGCATCAACATGTTTGCATAGGGATGTTCTTAGCCGACAGTTGCTTCTAAAATTTCAAAAGATGCTTCCATATGTCACCCTCTCATGCTCCCCAGCAACATATTGGGTCAAATATCCTGATGTCTTGTCATGAACCCTGTTTCCCCTCATTGCTGAGCATCCCAAGAGGAGAACAGCAGACYACGGTGTAGGCAATGTCAGTGCTGTTGCTGCTGCTATCCTCCATTTGCACTGGAGGTGAATGGYATTGCTATAGTTACACCAGCAGTTATATCTACACTAAGCCAAACTTACTTCCTTCAAACCAAAGGTAGGAACTACAGGGAACTCTAGGGAGAACCTCTCAGGTACATAGCCTTGATCGAATGGGTRTCAAGACAAATTCCAGGTGTGTATGCTTGACCTCACTGCTATGTGCTTCGTCTGCTGTGTGTCTCAGTCTGAAACTAACTTCTCATTTGTGCTTGCTACTGCTGCCCACTTCAAGAGGGCAACCAGTGATCTTAGTTTTGCATAAAGCCTTCTCTGTAACAGAGCCTGTGGCAGTTCCCCTGCTTCTCCCCCAGGCTCAAGAAACATCTTTCACTGCTGAAATGAGGTCTCAGCCAAATGGGAAGCAGCAGCTCAGACAACATGTTGCTACCACCCAGAAGGTAAGGTTTAAACACAGCAATGCAGTGATTAGGGGTCCTGAGAGCTGTTTTGTTAACACTGCATACAACCAGGTGGAGGAGGGGGAAGTTATTGAACAGGGACTTAAAAAAGACTTGCCTGGATGAGGACAGGGAACTGTAGGAGAAGGAAAGAGGAGGGAAAGAAAAAGATAATGGTACCAGAAAAGGACATCTATGCACACACTTAAAAGGCTATGGGGCAAGGCTGTCAGCTTCAAAAGGACCTTAATATCCTGTTTCAAAAGAAAATGCAAGCTGCCTCTGCCGGGCTGGGAACTCAGAGGTCAGTTTCTGAGAGGGCTCTCCCTGAGACATCAGAGACAAACATTTCTGAGCTTAGGGAACAGCCTTGCCAATGCTCGTTAGGCTGCAGAGACTGATGGGAAGGAAGAAAAGGAAGTAGACGGTGACAGAAAGCAGAGCTGGTATGGTCTATTCCTGTGGAAAAAGGCCAAACACCCAAAAAAGGAGAAAGACATTGTCCCTTTCATTGCTGGAAAACTCACCTTACTGGCAGTGATTTTGCTCTAMATAAATACTTCAAGAAGCCTGGCCACTCCCTAGTGGTTTGTCTGTTGGCTGAATCGGACTCAGAAGGGCCGGACACTGTTTGTGGCTCACACACCAGGGTCCCCGGTGTAAGACTTGGGTAACTCCAGCAGTCACGTGGCAAGAAAGCTGCATGGCTGAAGACCAGGACCCTGAGCAAGGGATATCAATCACAATTAAGGATGAGCTGAATCYATTAGTCAACCTGGTACCCGCAATCTAAGGTCTACTCTGCACAGAGACAGAGAAGTTATGCAAGTAACTATAAACACAGCAAGATAAAAGTCAGGATTAAATCTATCCTGGGATTGTTTTTCCAAAACATAGGTTATGTAAGAATTAATATTATCAGAACTTGAGGATGCATCATCAGCGTCTTGGTTCAACAATACCAAATACGTGCCCTGGCTTCCTCCCTCCCTACGCCATCACTAGAGGGAGCTACTATTACCTCATTTTTGTCAGCTAGTTTTTCCTGTCAAAGGTGAGTTTGTCACCCTAGTCTCCTTTATGGTTGATGGCAAGAAATGGGCACTTTCATGTGGTTTGTATTGTAAAGTATAAACCTCCAGTGGGTCAGATAAATTGCATTCTTGAGGKATCTCTCCAGGATGACTAGTCTGATTGCAAAACTTGAATCCAATCAAAATTACCAAAAAATAAATAACAACCCAAAAAACAAATGTGCTTTGTTTCACACTAGTTCGTAATGTTCACCATAAAGGTTGTCTGCCTGGAGCTCAAAGATAATGAGCAGCATTTGTATTATGACAGCAAGCACCCACTCAAGAGTAATCAGGCCATAAGCATCATCTTTAGAAAATCTGTCCTTTCTGCTTTGGCACAGGAAATCCAACTATCTCTTTGGACTCATTTCCTCATCAGAGAAGCTTAATTTTCTTCCATATTCTCTGGAGTCTCCATCTAAAAGACCATTTGTAGGCCTGTCAAAGTAGCCAGCTTTGCAGATCATTTGCAGTGGGCAAATGATGTCCTAAAGATTAAGCTGAAGATTTAGAGTCCTAAAAGCCCTAGAGATTGAGCTCTCAGTAGATGATTCAAGGATGCACAGCAGCAGTATCTCCCTGCAGAGAGATAAGCAAAAAAGAAATGCAGAGACACAAACATCAGTCCAGAAGGCAAAGGCAAAAAGAGATGTACTCTGGGATGTATGAAAGAAGGAGAGCAGGAAATAAAAGAGGCAGAGGGAACAAAGCACAGAGGTATGAGCAGCAAGACAGTGGACAAACAGAAAGAGGATGCACCTGAATATCAAGGAGAGATTAACAGCATTTTATTTGCATTGATAACTTGCATTTGGCTGTAAATGCATATTGCTTTCATATGTCTTTCCCCATTTAGCATATAGCAATGTACTCAAGGCCTTTGCAGAGGTGAAGTCTCCAGAGGGCAAATCCCAATCCCTTCTCTCAGAGACCTTCTCTGTGGTTTCTCATATGCCCAGTACCTGGTTTGTTCATACTGCAGCCTCCATATGGGGGGAAGCATCCCTTGCTTCAGGCCAGTCTTTAAGAAACTTGTGGGAGACAAAGTGCCTGGAAGGCCACGTGCTGCATTTTGGGTGCATTACCTCATACAAGAACAACCATGAGCTTTATCCTCAGCTCATGTAACAACACAGCTTGATTAGCTGCTGGAGGCCCTTCCTTGACAAATTAACTCTCTCCTGCTACCTGCTATGGTACCACAACCCCCTGCAATCATAAAAATGTGAAATCCCACTAAAATACCCCCAGCAGTGGTTTTTCTTAGGAGGATTTGCATGACCAGGTTCCTCATCTACACATTATGGTTATCCCCAAGCACACTGTGCCATGCTGCTCTGCTTCGGCCCAGCTGAGGCCTTAGGACTGGCCCTGAGCTGAGCAGGGCAGTTAGCCAGAGCCATCACACCACAGCAGGGCCCCGCAGCGGGCAGCCCTGCATGCAGCCTCTGTGCACAAGAAASTGTATGGCCAAAGCCTGGTGCTTAAGAAGCAGCTAAGTACCCAGGCTCTGGCATGGAAGCGCTTTTCAGTCTGCCTCTTGTATTAGGCAGCTAAATATTTTCATAGGCAAGGGAAGAACTGCTCATAGCTCAAAGATCAAGACCCACTGCACACACAATCAAAAAAGGTTTGCTCTTTATTTTAAACATAAAAAGAAACATTTTACACAGCATTGTTAGAACTATTCCGTACCTGCATTCTGGAATTGTGCCAAACATTTTATAACTTTGAAATTAAAACAAATGAAAGAAAGTATCTTGTCCTTCTGCTATACAACGTTCAAGCTTGTCCTGGATCAAATTCCAAGTGCTTGGAAGAATTTACCAGCTTAACCAAGAGATGTGGCAAAGCAGACAGAGGAAGACCAATGTGAGCCCTTAGGATCCTTGGACAGTAACACAGGTTGCAGCTGGGAGGATAGGGATACTTGTAGGGCATCTCAGGCAGCTTATTCTCTTGACACTCTCCAGGGTAAATACACAACCACATCGCACACATCTCCAYTCACATACACACACACCCAATCACACAGGAAATAATAATAATAAAAAACATGGAAAGTGACCAAGACATTTTCTCATTAAAGATTGCCAGAGTATTTTAAAAAATGGGAATAATACAAAATTGGCACAATTAGAAGGAAACTTGTGGGGTAAGTCTAGCCTCTCAGTGTCCAGCCTTCCCAACTACAGCAAAAACAAAGTGTAAGGGGATGCAGCATTGCCTTCCAAGGGGCTGGCAGCAGCACGAGCTAGTGGTGAACTTGCTTCAGTTGGAATGACAAGGATGGTTTATTACATGCCACGAAGGATGGTCAAAATTTACTAAGGGCATGGGGACCTTTCACTAAAGGGGCAGGGAGTTCTGACCAAAATAACCCTGAGTTTCTTCCAGCAGGGAGAAAGTGTGCTGTGTTGTGTGCTTGGGAAGAGCTGGCAGTTCCTTGCTCATTCATTCCCTAATTATTGCATTACAGTCACGATCCTCTTTCCCCTCCAAATTTAACGAAGAGCACATAAGCAAAAGTTCAGTCTTCAAGGAGAACAAGTGACTGATGCTGTGCTTGAAACTTAACGAGGTCAACCCCACTCAAAGTCCCCCAATGCCACAAGCCTGCAGTGAAAAAAAGCAGATGTTAGAACAGGAGAGAAGCTGCTGAAGGTCAGTGTGGAAAGGAGACCTAGAATTCAGAACATCAGACTGGTGCCCAAGAACATCCAAGGAAAAAGCAAGTTTTCACTACAGCAAGCAGAAAAGGAGAGGAAGAAAAACCTCTTGCTGTYAAAGTGTTATCTGAGTGAATTCTCTTCTCAAGTGCTCTCCTTTGGAAAGCAAGCACCATGACAGATTTCTGGCCCTTCACAGTGGAAGCTAGAGACTGTTTCAGCCCTGTTCCTCAGCAGATGCAGCAATACTGCAAGATATTTTAAAGGTCCCTACAGAGAAAAACAACAGGACAGAATTAAAAATTTTGTGGATGTTCAGGCCAAGATCTTGCAGAGATTTGTAAGTTTGTGGTATAACAGTTTTAGGTAGCTAAATGTCTATGAGTCCAATTACAGTCGCAGTCCCCACTCAAGTGGGTCCCACTGAGATGATCTCTCATTTTGAGAGATGAGGTCTGAGATGGTCTCATTCAGCTTCCCATTAGACACGTGTATGGGTGCAGGGGGGCGTTGAGTCCCAAACTCAGCTTTCTAGAAAAAACAAACTCAACAGCCCGAGAACAAATGTTTCCTAATKTTTGCAACATAAAAGTCCACAACTCAAACCCCAGTCTAGAATAGCTACAATACTGAGTGAAGATTCGACAAGTACTAATATGAAATGAAGCCATCATGATAGCAAGAATATTAGACCTGCAGCTCCTGTGGAATATGTACCAGGATGAGCTGCTGGTGAAGGAGATAATCAAGGCCATAATTAATGTTTAGATCGGCAGCCGTACATCAAAGCCACTACCTGCTGTGAATTTGCTCATCCAGCATCTTTTCTGTTCTCCCCTCTCAAAAAATATCTAAATGTTGGAGCCCTGGCCTCAGCTCTAGACTCCCCACCTTCCTTGACATGAGCCAAACCACGGTGGTTATGGCAGCAAAGGGTATAGTCCTACTTCCTTGTTTATAAACAGTAATTTTATTCTGACTTTTATTGCTTAAAACACCAGCTGTGCTGGGAAGACAGAGCTCCCAAAAAAAGGAGCTGCTCCCTGTTAGGAGCTAGGTCAGCATACGTGGAAGACCAAAGCAGCGATTCTTATAGCACCTAGAAATATGCCTCAAACCCTTGGGGAAAGCCCTGCGGCAGGCCCGGGAACAGAGGGTCTTTTACACGAGACCAGGATCACTGGAAACAGAAGGATTCTTCCTGGCTCTTGGGCCAATTCTTATTCCTACTCTGAAGGAAACCTGAGCTGCACTTTAGCTACCACAGACCTCAGACTCTGCTCACAGGCCCAAGAGTTATCACTGAGAGACTGGCATGTGTCGTGTTAGTGTGGCCCATGCATTTGTAATGCATAGCTTCCAAATTTCCCCTACATGTCATTATTGGTTGGCCAACTACACATAAGGCCTCACCACAGCGTTTTCATGAGTCACCACTGAGGCAAGGTTTCCTTCCTCTCTGCTGAGACTGGCAGAAAGCTGGCCGCATCCCTACTCATCACATTGCCCTGCTACCATAAGCAGACCAGGGTCTGAGGCACAACAGGAACAGCTGTACTGGGGAGAAGAGAAGGCGGAGAGGTGGAAGGAGAAGGTGGCATAGGCAGAGATCCAGGAAATGCTTTTGTGAGGACTGACTCTTTAGAGTTACTAAGTATTCACCACAGCTAAGAATTTTAAGTGCTGAAAATATAAAAATCCTTAAAAAAAGATCTGAAACTTCCAGGCAGGCTGTTTTGGCCTTGACCATAAACTCTTTGAAAGCCAGAGAAGGCATGTCACAACCACGAAGCTGCTCTTCACTGGAGCAGCCTCAGGAGGCACCAGCAAGCACTCTTCCTCTGTCTTTGTCCTAACACAGACAAGTCAGACACCAGGGTGGACGGAGGAAGGGGACAGGATGGTGTGATGGGAGAGACAGCAAGTGCGGATTAGTTAACATGATGGATGCTTAACACTTCTACCAGCCCCTTCCACCTTTCCAAATCTTTCCCCACCTCCAACTTAACAAATCTTTTCAAAATTGTGAGGGGAGAGAAAACAAATAAACAGAAAAAGAAATTTGGTGAATTTTGTCACAGGGCCCTGCTGAAAGAAGGCTCAAGAGTTCGCACATTAGGAGGACTTTTCCCTGTGCAGAAAGTGCTGCTGGAAAAGAAGAACTCTGAGTTGCTAAACACGACCTGAGCACTCTCAGGACATGATGTGTAACAAGGAGAAGCTTGAGGTTCACGCTGAAATCGGAGAGGAAACGCACTGTCTTGTCSAGGCCTGCAAGTGAGTGTCTGCGCACAGCCCCAGCGCCCTGCGAGTCTCTCACAAAACGCAACCGCTTTGGGCTCCCACGCTCAGTCCATCTCCATCGACATTAGCCGGCGACGCTCTCGTCTCGTTTCCTGCACTTCCTTCTTGCAGCACCAACGGGAGCTGCAGTAGCCGATGAGGCAGGATAAGAGTCCAATGACAGTGGCCAGACCAATGCCAATCAACAGCGGGTATTTGAAAGCATTCAGAACTGAAAGAGGAAGGCAAACAAAGTCATTACATCACTGTGAAATTCAATTTCCTTGTTTTTGTCTACGAAAGGAGAAAAAGCGCACACCTTTCAGTCATGGGCAGATTAATTATTTCAGAAGGGAATTAAACTAATTTCCCTTCTTAACTTCTGCCTTTTGAGGTTTCAAAGACTAGTCTATTTAGTTTCACCTCCTCACTCCTCACTTCCTCTTCCTTCACCAAAGCCTCAGGGAGACTGGAAGCATAACAGAAACCATTGAGTGAGCCACTTGCAAGAGGTACTCTGTTACCTATTTCTCCAAAAAAAACCCTTGCAGGGTTTCCCCACAGGCAGATTCAAGTTGCACTCTTTTTTATAAAAGAAGTTCTCCAAATGGCAAAGACTGAATTTATTTATCCTTTGTTGGATTACAACTCTATACCTGCTACCACTCAGCAATTCTGTCTAACCAGACTCCAAAGTTAACACCTAAACTAGTAATTCAATTTTCTGAAGTGCTACCATTCAACTACAGGGCAGAGTGGAGAGATGGAAGGAGTTTGGGAAGTACAGTTGGAATCATTGCTACCTGCCCAGCAGGGAAAACAATAACTTCCAATTCATTCAAGCTCCTGGGGCCTCCTAGCCCCACCTCTCCTCATGCTGCAGAGAAGGAAGGTTCCAGTACACAAACCTTAGCTGGGTGCTCAACATAGGCACCTCATGTACATCTTGCATCTCATGAAAGTCTAGCAACAAGTGGCTGAGACAAAGTGCAGGGAGCAGCTTGTTTTGTGGTTAGTGGGGAGAGGAAGTCAGGGCTCTGGTGCTCTGTTCTCAGCTTTGATATTAACCATGACTGACTCTGTACTTCAACACGCCCCAGCTGCAAACCAAGGCTTCCTCCTGCAGGCAACAGGAGGGTTAATGCTTGGAGAGAACRCTGAGCCTTCCTTTAAAGATGTCCCAGCTATGCAAAACATCAACACTAGATCAAGRGAAAGAACACGCAGCCCTGAGTGTGATCCATTCAGGCCTAGCCACATTAGAGAAGTTAGAATTAGAGGTTGAAAACAATAACAACAACAGAAAAAAAACATGGAAAATCTAATTGACTACCACACTCACTTTTAAAAATAACCTCTCAGGAATATCTGCCACTGAAAGGCATGACGACGGCTTACAGTCCCCTCACACCCACAGTGCAATTTCTTACCATCCATTTTCACGGATAAAAAGATGGGCTTGGCTTTGATGTCGGGCTCCCGCTGCCACACACCAGTGGCAGACCTCACCCACGGGGTCACTACGCAGTAGTGGTTCCCAAAGTCGTGGTCCTCGCAGCTGTACACACGGAGCCGAAATTCCAGTGGGCTGATTCTCTCCAGGCTGAGATCACTGCTCCCGTTTCTCCTGCTCTGTGTCATGATCCCTCTGCGGTCCAGGGAGGCCAGCAAGACGGGCTCTCTGTCCAGTGCGAAGGAGCGCACCGCAAACCAGGAGACATCAAAGGACATATCATCTGCGTTTGGAAACAGAGCAGAATTGGGACAGACAGGTGAGCTCCAAGGGTATTCAGAGTGCCACTTCATCAGTAGAAGGGTGAATCTGCAAGCAGCACGAACAGCAGGGTGACTGTTTCTGTCTCAACCTCTGTCCTTCAAACACCAGCTTTCCGGCACAGGCAGGGTTAATGGCAGAATCAGAAACAATCTTAAGAGCACAAGAATGTCTGAAATGCTACGACATGAACAATCATTAGCACTGAAAACTTGAGGAACTAGGATTGATATGCACAGAAAGGACTCTGAATGTTCATTAACTGTTGGGAAGAGATGTTGGCATTCCCCAGACCTTCCAACGTGTACAGGCAGTGTGAACGCTGTTTGTGTGAAAATGGTATGGAAGGTAGAAAGGACACGGACTTCAGGAGCTACCAGGAGAACTGCAGAGAATGTTACTGGTTAGATTGGGAAAGTGGTCCTAGAAATAGAAGAATGACCGAAGGGAAGTGCAGTCAGCTTGTGAGCGAGTTTGGAGCTAAGAGCGAAGAGAAAAGATGGTCAAGGGCTGGTGGGACAGTGGAAGACAAGTGCCCTGARCATGTCTGTAGTGGGAGCATAAAAGCACTGAATTGCAAGTGACAGAAAGAATATAGTTGCACAGAAAGGGTGACTGACTAGAGGGATGCCAGAGGAGACTGCCTGCTCTCTTGCCTACCATCTTAAAATTTATATTTCAGATGTAAGCTTTCACTAAGCAGGCCTCATGTCATGAGAGGCACTCTAACTGATGCTGAAGCTATGGTGACAAGGGGTTGGAAGTGCTACAYACTCACAAGCAAGGAGTGATCTGCAATCACCGTGTTCTTGCAGGAGCTACAAAGCCTCAAAGTCAGAAAGCCTCTTTCCTAAAGGTGCCTCATACTCATGTTTAGTCTGCCCAAACAAGGGCAGAGATTCTTCACGAAGCATCTAAGAACCACCAACAAAACCACAAAGCGTCCAGGATCAAAGCCTGACCACGACGCTTCTTCATGCGTCTTCCACAACTCATGTTTACTGTCACGCATCATCAGTCAGTCCTGCCTGTACAAGTTTTACTATCTGAGGAGATAATCTACAAAAGCCTTCGCAGCGTCTGCCCCCTCTAACATCAGCTGACAGGTAGTCAGAGTCCATCAGCAGCACAGCCAGCTCTTCTTAGCCATGCGAGATTCTATTGATCCCATTAGCCGAGCTCAGTCTTAACCCTCTTGGGCTGCTGTAGCTGAACATACACTTTTAAAAATCACTGCAATCTCTGCAGGACGTTAAGAGTATTTTGGTGGAAAAACAGAGGGGATACCAACTAGATAGAAAGTACCGGAAAGGACAGAATTTTAAGATAAATAAGATTCAAACGCTGCCTGTTTTCTAGACCCCTGTGAAGGGGAATCCAGCTGACAGCAATAAGGAGACACTATCACAATCAGGATGCATAGAACTTAAGGCCTAAATGAACCCTTCTCTTCTGGACACAGTTACCGAAATGAAGGTAAGTGGGAAAGATGCATCATGCCCTTTCTGCTCAGCACTTAGTGATTACAGTAGGTTATTCTAGYCACACCACTCTACATATTCTCACATATGGGGAGACCATCCATGAATGTCACGAGTCCAGAAACATCTACCAGAGTCTTAAGCTGAGTATGATGCCTCCAGATAGGAGAGAGGAGTTGGATGCATACATGTTCACCAACAGCTCTTCATCCCTGGCAAACTGACAGCCTGATAGGCCCAAACTGGAAACAGAGGTTTCTATCTGTGTGCACATTTTTGCTGCATCTAGAATGGGCTCACAGGACTTAACCTGTTCACAACTGGAACAGTTGCCTGTAAATTCAGGGGCATATCAAACCTCCACTGCTAACTCTGAGATCTGTAAGAAATGCAGTATTCTACAGAAATACAGTAACTTCAAACTTAAAACTGATCTTTGATCTAATTGAGTTTGCTCTTCTCCTCCAGATTTGATCTTCTGGCTAATGAAAATAAACAAGGCCCTAGACCTGCTGCTGTACTCAGATGCTTTACAAATTAAAGTGAAAATGATTTTTAAGCCTCTCTCAGGCAAACTGACACCTCAGAACCTTAAGGGAACCTTAAGAAGTCTTGTAAAGCAACGTAGGGACATCCTGAGCTCCTCTACTTCAGGTGCAATAGCATCAGCTAGCCAGGCACTACATTGTCCCTCAGTGCAGACCAAAAGCACCYTCCATCTGCGTAACAACTAGCTTTCCTGGAAGTTCCTCTGTGCAGGAAATGAGCAGCAAAGAAGTACTATCGGTCAGGTGCGCTGTTTCCACACACACATCTTTGAAAGGGCTGAAATGAGGGATGAGGAAGCAGATGGCAGCTCTCTGTTGCTACCAGAGATGCTGGCTGGCCAGGCTGCCTTGGGACCCCAGCCAGCTTGCTGCCCTGCTCGCCACGGCCAGCTGCTCTGGGTGATGACACAGAGCCTCAGGAGGAGGCCGGGCATGTTTGGCAGCGCTACAGCCGGAAGAGACTTCCCCATCCTATCTAGAGGTCAGCACAGGACATGGACCAGCTGCCCTCACAACCACACTTTTATCTATCACACTGCAAATACTACRGTCAGTCACTTGGTGTAACACTCTGATGCTCCACAGCCACAGAAGCAAAGCTAGTAAAAGATGATCACACACAGCTGAAGATAATGGAATAAACCCCTGACTGCTGCCTTGCAAAGTCATCCGACCCTCTGTGGGAAACAGGGCCTCGACTGGAGACAGCTCCATTTCTACATGGGGCTCTTGGGGCCGAATGCAGCCCAAGCAGCATTGTCCACGCAGGAGCTGTGGCCATGACTGATTCCTCCCCAAGCCCGTCACAGCCACCAGCTCTCGGGGCTTCCAGGAACTGCAGGGGTACAGGGGTGCTTTGCAGGCCAAGCTCAGCTGCAGTGGACACGCTGCTCTATGTGCCATAAAGGTTGCGACAACTGCATTTCAATAAATAAATAAATGCTCCAGACTTCAGATTCCCAAAGAAATTGTTGTCTTTGAAGAATTCCTTCTTTTCCCTCTTAAATGATTCATTTGAGGTTCCCTTCCCTTCACGAAGGGAAATGAGTGCAGACGCTTGCTGTTATTCTGAAATTGCCGAATTTATCTTCTATAATTACAACATGGGACAACAATATTACGCCAACATGTTTTATTAGTCACTACACACAGTGTGCAATTAGTGACTCACTACAGACACACAGAGCTGGAGGCAGGATTTGGCTGCGAGTATTCCCTGTCACTGAGAGGTAGCGTCATGTAGCAAAGTGATCTGATTCATTTCTATGTATCACACAATTTTCTATACTGTAAGGACACAGGGAAATTTAGCAGCACCAGCGATGAACGTGCCTAGCAGCTCCCAGTGCTGATAAATACATGGCACTCCTGACATGAAAATCAGGTCACACACTAGCTCTCAAAGGCACCTGCCATCATCTCCCCACACACAGCGTATCAGTAGACAAGTCACACTCTCCATTTTTGTTCACAATGAAAAACAATCCCAGCAACAACAACAAACGATCCCCACGATACACCCTTAGCACTGCAAAGGTGTCTTTCACCCCTCGCCACTCCACTGCAGTACAGGGCAACCGGGCAAGCACTGAAGGAGCCCCGCGCTAGGGAGACGCGCGACAGCCCCAAGCGAACTCCATGGCGCTGCCAAGGACAGCAGTGCCCCACGTCAAGCAACTCAGTTGCTCCCTAAAGGAGCACAGGGCTCTGKAACTCGGCCCTGCAGTGGCTCTGCGGGCAGCGCAGTCGCAGTGCTGCACTGCTGGCCCTCCTCAGCCAGTGGGGATCATCAACATGTAAGGCACATCTTCATGCACACTTCGATTTGACACACAGGCCTAAGCTGTCTGGGATTTAGCTGCTTCCCTGGCCAATCAGTCCTCAAAAGAGGGAATCCTCTTTCTAGACCAGCTCTTAGGAACCATGCACTTCCACTCCTTAGAATGGAGCTTTCTGCATCTAGTTTCAGTGCTGAATCACAATTTTGAGACCCTTTTTGTTTACTACATTTAAATGAGGTTGAATAGGGCTTCCTAGAGAGCTGACCGAACCACTTCAAGCCATACAAGTGGTAAGCAAAACAAACTGGTTTTGTTAAACTCTCCAGAGTGCCCACTAGGTCTGTCTGAAACAGATGAAGGGGGAAAAAAAAATCTCTTTTCAAGCAGAAAAAGTAATACTCTTAAATCCCTAAGCACATAGTCCAAGCAGAGGTCATCTGGTGGGAAGTCCAGAAAGATCATTTGTGAAACTGTGTATTCAACAAAAATACCAGAAGCAGGGTTATATCTTTGGGCACAGGAGTAACCCTATTCCCGCACCCCACACCAACTCACACCCCAACCTGAGCTGTCAAGCCAGAGGAGCACTCGCTGCCATCCACAGACCTCAGTCACACACACTCTGCTCCAGCAGGATCTCAGAGCAGCAGAGGAAATTAAAGTGTGCAGAGTCCCACAAAACTCTTTTCCATTCTTCTGAAGATTTTCCACAGGCCGGGTGCACCACAGCGCTGCGAGCTGCCCCTGCTAGAATTAACACTTCTAGGGAGAGAGTCATCTAMTCAGAACAAAGATGACAATGACCAAAGCTCATTGATCATTTAGTTCTTCCTCAGCTCCTTGGGAGCACTGTTTTCCTGATTATGTGCTCAAAGAGGGAAAAGGGAGGGCAGCAGACAGCTCCTCCTCTTACTACATGAAGCATACACGCTCACCAGGCCACACATTTGCAGAGCTGACCAAGCATTTTCAGACTGTTCAGGACATGCCCTTTAGCAAGAGATCCCATTAAATTCATTGATCCTCCTTTGCTCACACGAGGGCCCAAAACGCACCAGGGCAGCAGCTCTGACACCAGAAGAGCAAGCCCTGAACTTAGGCCCTTTGGAAGCAGTGGTGCACCACAGGTTACACTGTTCAAATGCACTTGCTCGCCTCTTCTCCCACATCAGGTCTCCAAACAGAAAGGGCAGGTAGTGCTGTGATCTGATTCCTCTAGGAGAGCACTGGAACAGGCTGCGCAGAGAGGTTGTGGAGTCTCCTTTGGAGATCTTTAAAACCTGCTGGGACGCAGCCCTGTGCCACGTGCTCTAGGTGACCCTGTGTGAGCAGGGGGGTTGGACTAGGTGATCTCTGAGGTCTCTTCCAACCTTMAGCATTCTGTGATTCTATGATTCCATGCCAGCAACTGCAACTCCTGAAGAGCTGGTTCAGGCTTCCTCCAAACCTGTGCCTCACAGGGATGAGGCCATAATATTATTTTTCAGTGCACCTAATGCTCAGCCCTGCATTTCAAGCGAGCGCTCCATCGCAGTCGGGAAATTGCGATGCGAACTCCATGCTGGGGAGATCAGAGATGCGGCGTGTGGAGAAGAGTTACTGCTGAGTAATGACACCTGCCTGTTACCATATGAGCCCTTCAGACCCTTCTTCACCTAACCCGCTCTGCTTTCCCACTCCCTAGTTCCACTTCCCCCTCTCAAAGGCAACAAGGCAGGAACACAAGGGAAATCCACTCATGCTGTAGCTGTTGGGATCCCAGCTGCTCCCTGCAGCTTTTCTGCCAGTCTCATCCAGAGAGCCAGCTAGACTGGAAAGCTGCCAGTTTCTCAGGCACGTCTGAAAGGTCCACATGTATTTTCTCCACAAGAACATATAGACTATGGCTGGTAGATCCCYAAATTCCTCTCATTCATCAGCTCAAAGCTCAGAGCATGAACTCTGATGTTCCTCAACACCTTCTTCAATGCCACACTTCTTTACTCCGTGCTGTGCATATCCACCGCATGCATCTACTCTGTCCCATTACAGAGAAAAAGAAAGAAGAAAAGGTGCAGAGAGCTGCCACCTTCATGATGATGTTACACAGCTACAGAACAGGTTATAGTGCTGACATTTAAAACTCTGCCCTGGCTGCTCAGCAATCTCTGGTAACTGCAACAATTCCAAACTCCAGACAGAGTCTATCGCTTTAATAGACATCTATGCCCTCTACTAAGGTTGCCGAGTTTAGGCTTAACAGTGTAGATCAGTAGATCCCTGGAGAGGCCACCTTTTTGCCTAAATCCGTTCAATTATCCTTATCTTGTCAGAGTTCCTCCCAGTCTCACGCTAGCAAGCACAGGCTCAGCACCAAGCAGCAGATAGGTGACCCCACCGTAAGCCAGTAGCTTCTTCCCCAGTTTCAAGTGGATGAAGGATGCTGAGGCCTCTCTGACAAGACAACCCCAAGCTTATTTTAGCTGTTAACCACCAGCAGAAGCAGCAGCTGCTCCCAGGCAGCAAGTTGTGCTTTGTGAAGGAAGCCAGCTGCTCTGGGTACTGCTTGGCAATAATATGTGTAAGAGCTGGGGAGCACTCCAGCTTGGAAGAGGCTCCTGCCGAGCACAGTAAGGGACAGGCTGAGGCAAACATACACAGSCACATCCCTGCAGGCTGGGTGCCATACAGAGAGGCTCTCAATCTTCTGGCTGCCATAAAGTTACTCRTTCCCCCTCCCTACCACCCCCTCCAAAGCATTTCACTTCTAGCATTTTTTTCATGAGTCTGGAACTTCCTACACTTGATAATTCATCTCATCAGCACAGCGGCTACACTAAATGCAGTATTTCTTGCACAGCATCATTTTGCAGAATTCTAAGCAAGCTTTACATGAATCATATCTCTGCTTATATGCTTATATATTTATATTTAGATAAGCATTTAAACATATATTTTTGCATTTTTAAATACATTTTTATATTCATATGGAGAGAAGAGGAAGAGAGGAGGAAAGACTAAACTCACACCAAACCCATTTTTTTATTACATTGTTACAGCAACCAGAGGTATTCTGACATCATTCCTGATGAAAAGCAGCTCAGGAAACTTTTGGTAAGCAGCTAAGTTTTGAGCTATTTTCTGAACTTTTCAGCCYTTCATGAAAGTTTGCCATTAAAGTCTTCATTGCCCTTTTCATAGCAATTACCTAGCACATTTATTCCTTCTTTTTCATGCAAAAGAGATGCTCACCTCTGAAGGCATCAGCAAGGAATACTAATTTTCAGTATTTAAGCTACAGTAGGCAATTTCTGTGATTTTTAGATTTACATTACATTCCTATCCACTCTGAAGTTTTCTATTTAAAATCCACTCTGACACGTTAATCTCACTGGCCAGTTGATTTAAGACTTCGTCATAAATGACAGTGTTTTCTCCTAACAGGTTTGCCCTTCTMATTAAGGATGATGGGAAGAACTGTCACAGCCCCTCTAGTGGTTATAGAGCAGAGACTAGCAGCTAGCAGGGGTCAGTTGGTACAGACAGCACAAGTGGATTTAGCAGTAAGAACACCTCTCATCTCCCCAACATAATGTACAAGGAAAATTTTGTTCTACGTGGAGCTGTGTAAAGCATACACACTTCTCCTGGATTTAGGAGAGTCTTGCTAGCTTGGCAAGATTTCCATGCTGGTCCACAATCCCCCAGCCTCATTCAAGAAATAGAAGGTTCTAGATGCCAGTGTTGTTGAGGCAAATGAGTTGCAACAATACACAGTTTTTGTGGAAATACCTGGCTCGAGTGCCATTCCTTCTGTTGTGATGATACAGAGCAAATCTGCCAGCTCGCCCTGGTAAATCATCTGGTTGTCGGAATGCACTGACACGTTAAACACAGGACCTAAAAAAGAATAACCACAGTTATGAACAATAGGCTTTTATTCAATATTCAAAAGCTTTTTCTTGTGTGCTTTTAAAGTGTTCTTTCCTTGAGTGTTCTAAAGTGCTCTCCGCTTGCTTACAGAGACAGAGGTCTGAAGCAGTGCTAAGTGAACGTGTAATAGATTTGACAAAACAATGATCCATTTTTAGCCACTAACTTTACTTGTCCTGTACTAGGATGAAATATCCAAACTGTGAGACCTGCAGTTCTGCCTGATCACAGCCCATGGACAACACAGGAGCTGCTGCCCAATCTGCCTTCCACTGTCCTGCTCAAAAGGGGCATTTCTTTCRCTGGCGACTTCACCAAGAGCAAGGGAGTTCAAGTCCTCACATCTTTTTGCATGAGGTTCTCAGTAGGAATTGAGGTTAGAGCAAACCAGTCTTTATACAATACAGATGGTTCTGCTGTGGGACCGAAGCAGCAAATATAAGCAGTACATCTGCTTTTAACACTTTTCTGTTCATTTTCCTTCAGGCTTCACCACAGAGCGTTTCTCCTCTAGCAGATGTGTCATGCCTAAAGGCACAGGAACTCCTCTAACTGTRGAGTGGTGATGATATTGATGGAAACCATTAGGCCATTATGAAATGCTCACATCATAGGGATGTGAGAGTTTGACTTGAAGTACACCTGAAAAAAAAACCCCACGTGTTGACAGTAACTGTATCTTTGGTGCAAAATTAATAGAGACACGGTTTCTCAAATATGTTGCTACTACTCTTCACTTCAAAGGCAGAAGCTGAAGAACAATCCAAATACCCTTTGGGATTTCTTTACTTAATAGAGCAAGAGAGATGAGGGGAAAAGCTGTTGTGAATAGTTTCCTCCAGGACAGCTTCAGAGGAAGGAGACCAGGGAACCTAAGAAGGAACCAAGGGGGCTCAGGTTGAAAACTGGCCCTTTCCCTTCCCTGGCGCCTTTAACGGCTGCCAATGCTGGGCTCAGTTAGCTCCACAACAGCAGCAGCACCAAGAATAGGAGGGTCATTTAGGGCTGGAGAGAAAAAAGCAGTTGGAAGAGTCGACATTCCCCGCTTCTTCAGGCTATTTTAGTAGAGAAACTGTAATCTTCAAATCTACTAGAGATCCGTGGCAAACACCACTTCTGACAAAGAAAGTTTATGCAAACCATCCAAGCAGCCCACTGTCCCCTGCCCTCCCAGCAGGCTTCTGTGGGGCGCTCTGTTCATAGCTCATCATACCGCACTCTGTCACAGCACTCCCAAACTGAGGCTCTGGAAAGAAATATGGAGATGCCACGAAGCCAGAGCTGTCCTTTTTGCTGAAACTATTCTAGCCCACAATGGCCCGCCTGGTTTTGGTCAGCAGTGATTATACAGCACACTAACAACTAAAATCCAATTACATTGCAATAATTACTCTGTAGCTTCTTAAATTCCCCCCACAGTTTCCAATGGGCACAATGTACTGCTCTTTATTATAAACTGTAAATCCTTTACAGTCCTGCTCTCCGCCCCAGAAAAAGCAGCACTTCTCACATCTTGGCAGTTAGTACACACTCATCCCTGGAGGTTTTGCAACCATTCTCTCACTATAGCCCTGCAAGCAACGGGGAAATAGTGACAACAGGGGCACGTGAGGTTATATGTAGGCCAATGGCTGAAACTCCTATGTGCTTTTTCTAGCATGTATTTAAGGAAATAAAAGTCCCAAACACTTTGATGGATAGTGGTTAAGGCAGTGACTTCATGAGCAGGTCCTAACTTAGGTTTAGTGTTCCGGGATCCTTTCTGGAAAAATGGAAACAGATAGGAAGGTCCCTGCTTCCTCAGCCTCTGTCCAGGCTCTTTCTACAGAAACTTTGTTTCCTGATATGTACCCCATTTTTATATATAGACCCCCCATAACTAAGGCTCTATATTTTCCTTGCAGTTACTATCTCCTTCAGAAGAAACAAAATCTTCCCCATGGTCCTTTTCCAGAGCTGTGAGGCCGGGGATTCTGCAGCCATAGAAAGGCAGAAAGGACCAAMGCTCTGTGGCTGACTGAAACCTGACAAGTCTGGAGCTGTGCTTGTTCAAGTGACAGAAACAAAGTGACCATCAGACCTTCCCTGGGGGCTCTGCCGCTCGTACCCCTGCTGCAGTGACCAGACACAGATGGGCACGGCCGCAACCCTGGTCCGTCCTGGCGGTCGGTGCCCAGGCGGGAGCTGCGGCGCACGGCGTGGGGAAGGCGGGACGCGCTGCGCTGCCCCCGGCCTGCAGCAGCAGAGCTGGGCCCTGCTCCTGTGCGCGGCGCAGCAGCGAGGCAGGCGGCAACGCCACCCCACAGGCGGCCACCCTACAGGCGGCCACGCCACCCTGCCTCTGCCCACCCAGAGCTGCCACGCAGCCTGCTCCCGGGCAGGATACACGGCGAAAATGGGCACACACAAACAGCACTTCTTAGGTCTTTTATTTCAGGATCACAATTCCAGACCTCCACTGCATTCAGTAGACCCTGGCTTCCAACTCATGATCAGCAAACCCCTAATGCAGACTGGAGCTTGAGCATCCCGTGCAGAGTGTTACAAGCACAGAAGCTAAGCTGCTGGGTCCCTCAGCCAGGGAAGGCCACGTTATGGTCACACATCCACAAGCCTGGGTTACCAAACGCACCCCTCGGCTCTCTCCCACGCAAGGGGTCAAGGTTTCCTGGCTGTAAACAGGCTGCTGGGCAGCAGCTGCCCTGCCCTTTCATGATCATGCTGCCCCTCATAAGCCACAGCTTTTGTGGCTTTGCTTACGTCCCTACCAGGGGACAATATTTCCTACAAATTAATATATCCGGTACCTCCRGGGAAGAAATCCCTGTGTCAGAAGGGCTGGATTTCAACAGAAAACACAGCGACATGTCAGCAGGGCTCGTGCTCTTCCCTCGCTGCAGCTGCACCAAACCAGTTTCTTCCCCGCCACTGGAGGCTGGCAGCTCGCTAGGAGAAGCATCTTCCCTCTGTGTCCATGGGCCCCATGCCTGGGCCTCTGGCTGAGCTCAGACACCAAAGGAGGGAACAAGGCATCGTCACTGATGCTCTTCCCCACCACGGAATTTGACAGCAGAGGAGACCGTTTGCAGCCTGGAAAGGCATTTGCCCCGAGCTGGACTGGGAGGACCATGTAACCTCCTACGTCTCCSACAGAAGGTACATCCAAGTCAGAGCTGTAGCCGCTACCCAGCCTGGCAAAGAGTCACAAAAGGTGGCAACCTGGCTCTATGGCTCATGAAATGTCACCTGCATGCCACCCTCCCCTATAGAAGGGTTATTATTGTTATTAATTTCCCCCCTCTTTTTTTTTTTTCCTGAAAATTAAGCAGGCCAGCAAGTGCTTTAATGCTGAATATTACTCGCCTGATTTATGTCCTCCTGGCTTAAACAACTCATCCTGACTTCAGCTGTGCCTTTCTGGCAATAGAAAGAGAAGCAGCAATGAACTGCATGCTGGTCTCAAACAAAAGCAACAGTAAATCAGTGTTCATTAGCGAAGCAAAACCACCTCCTAATCTAACTAGGCATCTACAGACTCAGAAAAAGCACCTTAGCAAAAAAGAACAGCACCAGAGCAACCACAGGATATCTTGGTGGGTCCTCAAAAGCCTTTTAAGATTCAGCTGGAGACAAATGTGCTCCCAGGTAGTCTTCTGCAAACAAACAAAACCCATAGATGCAGCCCATGGCAGCAGGGAGCCCACAACAGACACGATGACTGTCAGGGTCTCTGCACTCCACATCTAAGTGCTTGTAGCATCCCAAGGAGTGCTGAGGAGAGAGGCCAAACTCTCTCTTRGTACCACGTGAGTTTGTGCTTCATTAACCTTGAGAAAGCCCCAACCCTTTGCAGGTAACGCATGGCGAGGCTTTGYCAGGCTTGCCACTTGTGCTCAACAGCAAAAAATACGGTTATTGGCACCTACTAGTAATGCAAGAGGATAAACAAATGAATTTAGTTTCGATTGCAGGGTTGACAGATCAAGTGCGACTTGTGAGGCGCCTCAAGAGCAGAGCAGGGTTAAGCAGGAAGCTGCTCAGTAGYTCCACAGCTTCAGGAGAGAAGGTAACGATTGCACCTTCAGCTAGTTCAGAAACAAAGAAAGAGCATGGGCTCACAAAACCAAACATGGGCTTACAAAACCAAGCCAGCAATCCCAGCTCTAAGAGTTAGGCAACTGCCCCCTAAACTGCTATCTGCTACAKAGGTCTTTGATTTTTTAGCACAGCCAGAGTCTCTGTTCCTTATCATACTAAGTAATCTCACAAAGAACTCTTTTCTTTTTAAATGAAGTAATAACAATTTTATATTAACGAGTGTTTGAAGTCAAGAAAGGAATTAAAATACAGCTTTCAGACCATTTATTGACTTCTGAAAGCTTGAAAAGCATTTTTATTACAAATGGAAAGCAAAGAAGCTGAGCTAGAAGTTTACTAGTACAGCCCTAGAACTGCTCAAAGGAAACAAAGTTCCAGGATCAGGACTCATTTGGTTTAGTTTCTTTTGAATGCCCCCTTCTGTGCTTGCTCCAATCATTGATTTCATGCAACTCAGAAAGAAAATCCTAAAGTGACTTAGCTAGAAGGTATACTGCAAATTCTTCCACACATAAATGAAATGGAAACCAAGCTCCACCAAACTGGGTGTATTATTTAGCGCTCAATCAGGCTGAAGAGGCTGGGGGATTGAAAGGAAGAGCTCAGGTTCACCAAGTTAATTTTCTCAGCTTAAAGAATTATGTATTGCAGAAAAAAATAAAACACCCTTAGCCCCCTATTTAAGTGAGTTCACTCCATTCCCCCTACTTTGCTCAACTGCTTCATAATCCAACCARCTTCAGTTTTCCAAACAAAGAAAGAGAAGAGAGGCAAGAATAATCAAAACACAGTTAACATCTGGATTTATAAGAGTAGAAAGAACTCCTAATGACCTAGATCCTAGGCCACCTTTTGACCTTTCCTACTTGATCTTTGCCAGCAGCGCTCTCTGCAAAAATGATGTATAAACTCCCCRAAGAGCGGAGGTATCTGTATCCTCCAGACAAGCAAAGCAGAGCAAAGAGAGAGGCCAAGTAACGAGACGGACAGAGATCCCTACGGGCAGGACCCCGGTGGGCAGCCCCTCGCTCAGCAGCGATCACTGCATGCGACGTCCCTGCTTGCAGCCAGCCAGCTCCACACGCCGCCAAGGGAAACACTGATGCAATCCACTGSCTCTCTCAAAAAATGACTCATCTCTCTCCTGGCACCACACGATCCATTCTTGAACTGAGGATCCCATGATCCGCCTCTCTCCAGATAATTCACCCGCGCTATCCCAGCCGCTGCTTGTTTCTTCACGGAGTTGCTGGTCCCTAATCACTTCTGCCCCAAATCTCCTAACAGCTGTTTGAGGAAGAAGCGCTCACAGTTTTGCCATACTGCTCTTCATTCGTTTCCACGATTAAGATTTTTGCCCTTTAAAAAAAAATCTTGCTCTTCCCCCTTCTTGTAACTGAGTCTTTCTGTGGGTCATTACAGGGCATCATTTCATTTTAATTGCAAGTTCAACATCAATACTCAGCTCATATTTCCGCAGCACTTGGTTTATCCCTGCTTCTTCCAAAGCGAGTGATAACACATTGCTGTACAATGAGCTCACAGCCGATGTAATCCAGGGTGGTAGACTTGAGATGATTCCCTTGAAGTCCCCTTTTGTTCTGCTTTGCTTCTCCAGAGCTTTTTCCCGCTGCTGAATGACCCTGGGGGAAGCCAGCCCAGAGCGCAGCCAGGCTCCACATGGTTCTCCCATAACATACTTGTGCGGAAAAGATGAAAAGCATCCTTCCCCCAGCTCCCCCCCAGGGAACAGGAAAACACCAGTGACGTCTGTGGAAAACACCAGGATTAGAGAGTGGGCAAAAACACTCACAAGGCCTCTACAATATCTCTACAGCAGCACAACGCCTCTGCAACAGCTGAGCACAAGGTAGAAGGGATAGAAAATTAGAGGATGGGTGCTAAAGAAAAATACAGAACAACCACCAAGATCACTTAAGGCAGACTTGTCAAGGCCAAAGTGTGTACCTGATGGTACAGACAACACCTGATGGTTCACAGGAGAGGAAATGGCAGAAAAGATACAATGAAATTAGGAAAATAAATAATTAAAAATAATCAAATAATCAAACACTGAGAGCTGCCCCTCTTCCTCAGCTTGCTGAGAGAGATAATAGAGCTTCTATTTTAAACTGAGCTGAATAGAAAGAAGCACCGAAAAATACTACCTAGAGACTCTGTATGGGATGAGTTTTTCTCCTCTTCYATGAATATAAGCTTAGTTTGGCTATCATTATGGGATGCACAGCAGGCATTTATTTCATAAATTAGTCTTACAATCCATGCAATTCATAAGGACAGCCCAGAGGATGCCCAAGATCCCTTCTGGTCTTAAACTACATACATTAGAGAACAACCTGCCATTGATCGAATATACGGGAACTAACGGCCTACTGGGTTTTCCTCATGGCTTCCGGTTCACACAACTGAGTGAGCAAAATCCACTTTTCAGTTTTCAGTTCAGGAAACTTCAAATAAAAGCCTTTGCATTACAGTTTCAGATMATAAACTAACTGGAATACATACGTCTCTCTGCAGCAGCAAGCAGGGAAAGAAGAAGTCTCTGCCTGCAGCCAGCAAGTTCTGCCTCAGACGGAAAGAATCCGAGGCAGACATTTTCCACAGATGTTCATGGAAAAACATTTCAGAGCACTGCCACATTTCAAGCCTATTGTGGCAGGAAACACTGCAGTTTCATGTGTGCAGTCCCCTGCTCATACACGAGGAGCTCACGGGCCCTCACAGTTCAGGGAGATCCCATTGCCTGACACAGAGGCACAAGGAAAGGCCCTTCCCGGCTACCCAGGGAGCTGCGACCGCCAGCCCTGCTGCTTCTGAACCTTCCCCACCAGCTCCGGGGCATCCTCTCGGTGTCTCCCCACAGGCTGCCAGCTCCCTCAGCGGGTCTCCCTCACACCCTCATTCACAGTGGGGAAAGCAGGATGCCACCCTCCTTTGGGGAAGGGGTTGGCAAGCACCCCTACCACCCGCCACAAGCATGGAGCACGTTGCCTAAATGGAGCTTTTCTTGTTGCTCCACAACTTTGACAGTTACCTGTGGCTCCCCAGGCTAGTCACAGGCTACAAAAACAGTTCATCTCAGCAGACACAACCAACACCTCCACAAAAACCCCTCTACCAGCGCCTACAGCCGCTCCCCAAGAGTTCTCCTTAATTTCTACTCATCTGTTCGAGACAGGAGCAGCATAACAGGGCACAGCAGAGGAGCGGGGCTGGAGGGAAGGAAGTGCCACGCGCCCACAGACAAGCCGAATGTTTGGAGGGACGCGGAGGGGAATGTGGGAAGCCCCTTTGCCAGCATCCCTTCTAGMTGTGCTCACCAAGCCCTCCCTTCCCCCCAGGAGAGCTGCAATCTCATAGCGCTGACATATCCAAATAAGTCCCTCGAAAAAGATTCACGGGCACATTTGCCAAGATATATCCAGACAACAAGGATTTTTCAACAGCATATAAGGTTTTTTTGGGGGGTGTTGTTTTTTGTGTGGTTGGTTGGTTTTTGGTTTCTTGCTTTTTTAGGCCAAAACGAAGTTGCACTCACAATATAGGAGGGCCTTTAGAAGCAGCCCAGAGATGAATGTCCAGCACAGATACTTGAGGAACAAATGAAGGACACACAGTTCATCCATTAGCAGTGGGAAGGAAGGGATTTCCAGCCAGATTTTGCTACGTGCCAAGATTATTTCAGGAAAGAGCCCTCCAGTAAAATTTGCCTGGGGTCTCATTTCTCTCTCCATTCTTTCTCAAAGAATGAAAGGCTGAGGGGGTGTCAGGACCAGGCCCCCCGCTGTTCAGCCCTGCTACTGGAATTCATGCATTCCCAGGGCAGTGCTCCAGGCTGGCCCCCTTCCTCACTCCATGCATCAGAAATCCTATCTGGGGGAAGAGGCAGGGATTAGAGAGTGACAGTGAAAAGAAGTTGAGACTGCAACATAGACACTTTCCTTCTTTGCAGAGCTCGCACATTCCCCTCGGAAGCATGGATATTAACTGCATCTCACCAGATTGCGGGGATGGGAGTTCAAAGTGACGCAACACAACGTGTTGGGAGAAGAATCAACCACCACTTTTATGCAGAAGAGCCTTTAGGTAAGAGTGTGAAGGGGAAGGATTTGAACTGATTTCTCCTTTTCTTGGTTTTTCTTATTGTGATTGACACAGATTCCAAGATTAGCAAGGTTGAAGCTATAGCCCAGTAAATAACCTTAAAAAGACGACACAAATCCACAGCAATATTCAGCTACGACTGTGCTGTTCTGAGAAGCATACAGAATATGGGTAACTAACAGATTATTTTCASACAACTATCTATCATTGGGCCAAAAGGAAGAGCCAAGCAGAAATGATCTAAAACTGAAATAAATTGAGTTCAGTCACTGTCCTCTCTCAGGCCATCTCTGATCAGGCTGCATGTTCATCAGGGTTCATATCAAGATGTTGCTTTTCAAAACTTCTTAGAGTCTGGTGTTCTCATTCCATGCTCGGCCAGTGTCCCTTCCCCAGTGCACCTGTTACAGGCATGTTCAGTTTCTAGAAATTACCTGGTGGAGAATGAATATCGTTCTCAGCTATGACAACAAGCAGAAGTCAAGCTGCTCTAGCCTACTCTCAGCCGTATCTTCTAAAAGCCCTCCCAGTCCGATATTACATGCAGTGTAACTTAGATGAAGGGCTGTGCGGAGAGACCTATTYTAAAACTACATTTACTAATCAGAGTGGGGTAGGGAGAGAGGTCTGAGACAAAAACAAGACAAGCAGAAAGCCCCAGCATCGGAGGCATCCTTAGACTGAGAGCCAAAACTGTTCAAGTCACTAGTTTTGTTTATCATATCATATCATATCATGAGATAAGCCTCCACTCCTAAAGGCATCATGATCTTAAAACAACTCCCCAGCACTTTCAACCACCCAGGACAACAGGGGGTCAGTGTTAAAATGCACCTCTGATGATCCAAACCACCGCCGTGCCCCTTGCTCTCCCCAAGAGTACACGGGAACAGGCACATTTCCCTTGACAGATGTTGCCAGGTAGGCTACGTTGCAGCTGAGGAGGGTTTCAGTAAAGCTGGGGGAACTGGATGCCTATTTGGGTACTAAAATGCATCCCCATATGTGGAGCCTTGCAGTTCAGCCACAAAGGCCCTTTATAGTTTTGCAGTAACAGAGTACATTGCTGTGGTTGCCGTACCACTGCCTTGAACTGAGGATTTTCTGCAATTACATCAACAGGAAGGTGTGCTCAGGCAATTTAATGCTATGCTAATTAAGTTTGTTTTGGAACAGAAATCCAGTTTATATTAAAGCTCTTCCAAAGCAGTCGTTATCTAAGAGCAATCTAACGATGACGCTAGCAATGATGGCAGCAATTATTCCATATTGAAATCCAGTTCCAAGCCTGCAGGACCTTAAAAACTGCATTAGAAAAGGAAAACCCAGGGGTCATGGTTATAAGCCTTTCATTAAATGTCTTCCAAGTATTACCAAGAGGAGAGAGCACACAAGCACCAACAAAGCAGACAAGCAAAGCTCTCGTCCATCTCTGCTTGGAGCTCTCATCCATCTCACTCCTTTCCACCTCAAAGAAAGGATAGCATTTCCCAGAGACAGCAAAGCCACTGGCAGAGCATCAAGAGCTTTCTCTTTTTCTCTGGCYTAGAGATACCCCAGACAAATTTCATACCAACCTGAGGTCTGGAAGTCTATCTGGATAGGATTGGATAGGCCATTCACGGCTTCACGCCACATGCCGCCACCGCCTGGGGACCAGGCAGTCACCACACAGCGATACAGCCCAGCATCYGAAATCTGGGTCTGATACATCCTGTAGCGGAACTCGTTCTCCTGGACCTTCTCCAGAACTACGCCATCCACGCGAGTCTGATCCGTCCAGTCTTCCAGCCGCACCACTGAGTCCTGGTTCAAGGAGATGATGCGAGTGGTGCCATTGGGACTGGACTGATCTGCGAGTGGCTTCTCGGCGGTAATGAGGACAGAATAGCGTGGGGTCTTGATGTTCTTTGAAGACACTTTGCACGTCATCTCAAAGGTGTGGCCTGCCACAAAGAATGGCTTCAGTCTCACTGCCTCCACTGTCAGCGTGTAATCTGGAGAGAGAAGAAAGCAAGCAGCAAGGGAAGGGTTAATAAACGAGGGCGACTATTTCTGCAGTATCTTTCAACTCCGGAGATAATTAAAACAGAGCACTTCTGAGGGGAGATAAATTCCAGAGCATTTCTCCGAACACCTGGTGTCATCCCAGAAAGCAACTAGAGTACACACAACCACACACAACAGTCTGGACCAAGATGTAAGGATTCAACAAAAAACAATGCATTGGGCATATATTGCAACATACAGGTCATAGCATAAGCCTTCCAAAATCTCTTTTTTTTTTTTTTTATTCAGGAGTAGACCTAGTAGTGGTATGAGACTCAGCACCCCCGTTTTACACTGGATTTGGAACAGCACCAGCAGCGACAGGATATGAGGACACTGGSAGCTAGTGACAAAAGCCACCACTGGCTGAGTGTGCAGCCCTTCATGTACCTTCTTGCACTTCCCTTCAAAACCCACCTGAGCAACAATCCAGACACATTCAGCTGAACTCCCAAGATCAACTGAAAGCACATACTAGAAAAGCTGGTGGCAACATGACAAATCCCCAACCCCAGCAGCCACACACACAGCTCTCTGCTAGAAGCGTTCAGGATACCTCCTGCCTCCAGACATACTCTCTGCACTTGCTTCCCTTGCATTCTTCTAATTACAAGCCATTCAGAAACCTTAACATGTCTCCAACAGCCCATTTTGCACCAAAAATGKCAACAATACAATGCTGTTTTTCCTTCCCTTTCCATTAGCATTTTTCAAGTCTGTAGACACCTCAGTCCCAAGAATCCCTTAATTACAGGGTTTGGGAAAAAATAGACATCTAGCAGCAAAGTCTCAAGATAAAGACCACAATGAAAAATTGAGAAAAAAAATTAGAGGTGACAGAAATCAGAGCTAGATCACAGGAAAGGAGGTTGCTAGTTTTGTTTCACTGTGGCGGACACAGATCCCACACACCTAGGAAGATTTCCTTCTACCTGCACAAGTGAATGAGAGCTGTATTAGTACACACAAATTACAGCAATTTCCCAGAGTAGTAGTATAGGAAGAATGGRGCTAGTCCAACCTTCGGGGCATTGACTTTGATACAGCATATTCTCCTTTCCCTCCTCCCCAGCTCGCTCAGAAAGCATGACTGCACATTAACCAAAGAAAGTACACAGATCACATTTATGCAAGGTGAAACTTTACAGAACAAGGGAAATAAACTAGAAATAAACTCTGGTGAGATTGTAACACATCCCAAATTGAACTGAGTGTAGTAATTCTCATGCCCTCCCCATGAAAGCAACAAGAGAGTTGTCAAGATTACATTTTGCAGTGTTTTGCCTTCAAGCTGCAGTTTTCACAATGAGTAAACACAGCCCACAAGATGAGAAACTTGGTATGACAACTTTAAATCAGTACTGCATAAAGCAGACCACAGTACAAAGCTGTATAAAAAGAGCAGCAGGCTGAGGGAAAGCCGAGTTGCTCCTAGTGGTCCAGCTGAGCACAGAATTACTCAATACTTCAAACCAAACCATGCTCACACTTCCATCCCCTAAGCAAGTGGGAATGCAAGAGTTGCACGTTGAGGACTCAACTSAAGTTGCACACACAGATATTTTCAGTTCCCTCGTGTGAAGGCTCATCACAGATCTGCTTCTATTCTTCAAATCCATTTCTTCTCATTTTGTGTCCACAAGATTCTGACATTGCCCTCTCTGAAAGCTGGCAGCTCTTATGGGTCCAGCACAGATCAGTGTTCCGCACGTTTTAGGAACACAGCAGCCAGTCACACTCTTGACTCAAAAGCAGAAGCACAAGTCTGCCCCATATTGCTACCTCCTAACCTTGTGGGGGATTCTGGGCAAAACACACCTAAGTTTTCTCCCTGGCCTTCTGGTCCTTATATCAATAYATGAACACTAAGCATAAGGGCCCCCACTCAAGCTAGATCAGGCTTTGTCCTCGCAAGTCTTTGCTTGGCTTCTCATTTGAAGGCAAGAAAGAAAAACGTTGATCTTACCAATGATTTTCACTACAGACAAAGGGGTTTTGTCACTTAACAACTATTTTCACTAGAGGGAAAAATGGTTGTGGCAGCAGCAGCAATGCCATCTGAAGAGTTTGTGGAAAAGAACATCTGAAGAGCAGATCTGCAGCTGGAGAAAAGTCATGCAATTCAAAGCAGTTAGAAATTAGCATGCAAAACAGGAGGAATCCTAAACAGGAGGAGTCCTAAATGATTTTTCTGCTTGTAAAAGGATAAAATAATAAGACATCCTTAGGTTGGATGAATACCACAGAAGTCAAGAGAAGCCCATCTATAAGAACAGCTCCAAAACTGCTCTCCTTTGGTAGGAGCAGCAGAAAGATAATGAGAAGCCATCATTATTACCTAGGAAAGTATACAGGTGTCTGCACATAACGGCACACATGCAAGGAAGAGGGGGAAAAGGTTTGGTACCTAGGTGAGAAATAACAGTATTCCACCAGAAAAGGTAAATGGGAAAGAATAGCTTCTTCATGGGAATTAATAGATACTAAACACCCAATCTTTTAGCAAAAGATGGGTCAGAGAGGCCAAAGAACAGCATTTTTTTCCCTCTGAGAAGTACAGCCTGAAATTTCATTTCTGATCTTCTTAGACTGGCCAGGGAAGCACAAGTTGGGCTCTCTGTGCCTTGGACACTACCTTGCATATCTGGCCCTACACACAGCAGCAGTTTTGTGCACAAGTTCTTTAAGTAGTCTTGTTTCTTTAAGCAGCCTTGAATGCAAAGCCTGTCAGATGTAGAAGCCTTCAACCTTCACGGTCAGGAAAGGGGCAGTGGGATAGACTGGAAGCAAACAGCTCCCAAATCTTAAAACCAGTTTGGGCACTATTGCRCAGCAGACGGCTAGCAGCAGCAGAAATCCTTGCCAAACAATTCAGCGAAAGTCTGCGTAATCAGCTATGCTTTGGAGCCTGGCAGCGTTCGCTTCTGCCTTCCAGCACTGGCGTCCAAGCTGCTAAGGCCCAAGGTCACCCTTCCATTGCTCTCTGCTGCTTCCCATTTTCACCACAGCTAAACCAGCTTGCTAGGTGAGCCCACCAGCTGCAGGGCAAGGGGCCTTTAGAAACAAACATCTTTTCCCCGTATTCCACCGACTCCAGCCTGCGGATGGGCCCCACAGCCGCCCCTCGGAGCAAGGTGAGATCCCGGCAGGCTCTTCAGCAGCCCCAGGCGGCACCGGCGGCACCATCGCAGTGTTCACGGAGGCTCTTCATTCCCCATGGAGGCTCTTCTTCCCCCCAGCGCCCTGACCATGCTGAAAGCAACRCGTGTTGGGGCAATGTTAGTTTTGCCCTCAGAGAAAAATGGGGCTATGCAACACCCTGAGGTGCAATGGCAGCCCCACTCGGATCAAACAGCAAGATCTCTGAAGATGTAGCAGGCATCTTATGGGTACCCTACACTATCTGTAGGAAAACTAGCCTGATGCATGTGCGCAAAGGGCAGCTGCTCACCCCAGTGCAGTGTGCACGCCAGTGCATCACCCTCCCAGCCGCTCGGCCTCCAAGCTGAGCATGGACACACTGCATCCTCTTGCATGGAGGCTYATGACAGGCCCGCCCGCCTGCCCCTGAGGCTCTGCACACCTAGCTAAGCCACCTCCTCCTTCCCATGCCCAAGCTGGCACATGCAGGAGGCAGTTCTGTGCCGTGGGCATGGGAATTTCTTTGCTCTAGAGAAACTGCACCATGCAGCACTGTGTCTATCACACACTATAAACTATTAGGGTAAACAGGTGGAAAAGGTATCACTTGCCCTCTATTCCCAGAGTTTCTGAAAGGGGCACCCTTGCTCTTCATTAAACTTAAGACAATCTTCTGGACAAACATTGAGGATAATTAGTAACAAGAAAAACTTCTTAGTAACAAGAAAAACTTCTTTAGTAACAAGAAAAACTTCTTCAAATATATCAACAACAAAGGGAAGGTCAGGGAGAACGTGGGTCCACTAGTGAATGGGGTGGGTACCCTGGTCACGAAAAACACGGACAAAGCAGAGCTGCTGAATGCTGCCTTTGCTTCTGTGTTTGTCAGGGACAGCCCTCTGGAATCCCAGGCCCTAGGGACACACGAAGAGAGCCAGAGAGAGGAAGGCTTGTGCTGGGTAGAGGAAGAGTGGGTCAGAGAGCACCTAAGGAAACTCGACACCCACAAATCCATGGGCCCTGATGGGATGCACCCCAGAGTGTTGCGGGAACTGGCAGATGTCCTAGCCGAGCCGCTCGCCATCATCTTT